AACATAAAGTCTGTGACCCAGAAGAGGGCCCTCGCTGGACCGTGCTGGCACCCTGAGCTTAGACTTCCAGCTTCCAGACCGCTGAGAAACATGTTTCTGTTGTGTATAAGCCATCCAGTCTGTGGCATTTTGTGACAGCAGTCCAGAGGGACCAAGACAACTCATCTTCCAGATAAGGAGATGGAGACCCAGAGAGGTTAAGCAAATTGTCAGATGTCACACAGCTAGGGCATAGTGGGGCTAGGACCCCCAGGACCAATTCTAGGTCCTTCTCGTACCTGCCCTATCCCAGGATACGTGCCTGTGGTCGCTTAGTCAGCTAGCTTTGCCTGCTGGCCACTGGGGCTTCCTGCAGCTGCTGGTTGTAGCCTTGGGCCATCTAAAACAGGGCTACAAGCTACAGCCCATAGACCACATTCTGCCAGTGGTCTGTTTTGGTACAGCCCATGAATGTAGAATGGTTCTTCCATTTTTAGAGGGTTGTAAAATCAAAGAAGAGTTTGCAACAGAGGCAGTATGTGGCCTGCAAAGTCTAAAAATATTTACTACCTGACCATTTAAAACAAGAGTGTGCCCCGCTGCTGATGTTAAAGGTCCCCTGGACCAGCTCCCTTGGGAGTGGCGTGGGGAGTAATTGCATGTGGCCTCACCCTGACCTGCCTTAGAAGGGCCACGATGCTGGAAGTGGCACTCTGAGCTGGCTGAGGGGCTCCATAGGGACACGGGGGCCAGAGCCCAGGCCAGGCGGACGGTCTGAGGGTGGAGGCTGGCTCAGAGATCTCAGCAATGTGGACCCGCTCAATCCACAACCTCGGAGTCCCTCAGAGATGCTCTGTTCAACACTCACAGTGTCCAGATGGGGAAACCGAGGCCCGGCGAGCAAAGGCACTTGCTCAGGGTAAACGTGCAGAATCCCAGTCCAGGGCTCCTTCTGCTTTCCAGCCTCAGGAGGGAAGGCCCCTCGTCTGCTCCGCCCAGTACCGGGCTGGCCATTTCCTCTGCTCCTTCCTTCCTGCAGTCGGCATTCATCATTCATGACGGGCGGGTGATTCTCCTCGCTAGCTCAGGGCCTCAGGGTAGTAGGGCACCGCCCTGCTCCCAGGCCAGAGGGGAGACGGGCCTGCCCAGAAGAGGGTGCTCGGTGGTCACAGGCACTCTGGGTTCCTCAGCAGGTGACGATGCTTTGGGGAGGCGCAGGCTTCTAGCAGAGGGGTCTGATCCAGGCCTGGCCGTGTCCGAGAGGACACTGTGTGCTAACAACTGCTCGCCTGCCTGGGCTGGGTTGTGAGGAGGGATGTGGCTTTGAAGAAGCGAGGCTGGAGACACTTGGGGGCCAATCAGAAGACCCGGCTGCAACAGATCTTTTAAGTAGGGCAACAGCCAGCTGCGTCTGTGTTTTAGAAGCCCCTCCAGCTGCCGCCTGGAGCAGGGATGGGGAGAGGGCCAGAAGCTGATTTGAGTTCTCTGAGGACCGAGCGCCTCTATTCATCAGAGGAGGTGCTGGGGGCCGCCTCTTTGAGGCAGGGTCTGCACTGCCTTGCCCACCTGGCCATGTGGTGATCTGTCTCTCTGAGGCCTCCACCTCCCGCCCTGGCTTCTGCAAAGGGAAATCCATGAGGTTTTGTAGTGAGCTTTTGGCGAGGGACGCTTAGGGGGAGCATCTTCCTGGGCCTTAAACCAATTGTGGTTGTCTTTCTAGAGCTGCTCATTTGCTTTTTTTTGAGGAAGATTAGCCTTGAGCTAACATCTGCTGCGAATCCTCCTCTTTTTGCTGAGAAAGACTGTCCCTGAGCTAACATCCATGCCCATCTTCCTCTACTTTCTATGTGGGACGCCTGCCACAGCATGGCTTGCCAAGCGGTGCCGTGTCCGCACCCAGGATCGCAACCAGCGAACCCCGGGCCGCTGAAGCAGAATGTGTGAACTTAACTGTTGCGCCATCGGGCCAGCCCCAGGCTCATTTGGTTTTTAACTTCAGACTTTTAAACTTGTGTAAGGAAACAGGCTGTCCTTTGCATTGGCTGTTAGAAGCTCAGGGCAGGAGCCTTACTCGGGGTCCGTGGACCGACAGGGAGCTACGGAAAGAATTTAGGGGCCCAGAACTTGGATAGGAAACTAACGCCGTTCTTATTGCTACTAATCTCTAGCCAATAGCAATTCCTTCAGTTACACATGAGGCAAAACAAAAACAAAGCCGCTCTTGTCTCAGCGGTGCCCGGGGCTTTGTCACATGTATTTTTATGTTGCATTGCAGCTGTTGTAGATTTCTTGAAATGTCATTTGCGCCCATCACTATTTCAAAATTACGGTGGTTATTGGACTCATTGTTAGATCTTGTGACTTAATGTGTTAATAAAGTGTGTGCACGCATATCTCATGAATTCGATTTTTAATATTTTCATAACTATATTTTAATATGATTGGTTTCCTTCGTAGTTCTGTGCACTTTATTCTCAGCATTTAAAGCCTTTATTCTGAGAAGGGGTCCGCAGAAAAAGTTAAGAGCCCGTCTACTCTCCTCGACACCCCCACCCTGGCTTGCAGCTCGTTCACCTGCAGCCCGTACTGCGTTCTAGGTGCAGCCTCTCTCCTGGGAGATTCTCGAGGCCGGGGTGGGGCCTGCTCATTGGCTGCTGTGGCGTCCCTGGAGCCTGAGCTTAGTTCCTGTGCGTTCCATTGAATTGGAACGAAATGATTGAGCGGAACAGGCCCAGAGACCCCAGTCTCTTGAACTCTGCCTGTAACCTCGCCAAGCCTACAGTTAGTTAGGTCCTTCAGCTGATCTGTGGGTCTGAGGCCCACCCGAGCCACCCCCCACCACCCGCTGGACACCTTGTGTTCCATCCTGTGTACCTCAGGGTCTCCAAACCCCAGCCTCACAGGCTCCGGGCCTTTCCAGCTGGAAGGGTCTCCAAGCCCTCGCTGTCTTTGGGTGATGAGAGCTGTGCTTTGTCACATCATCTGAAACTCTGGGAGACGAGTTTCTGCCTCTCTCCTTCCTTGCTTTGTGAAAATAAAAGCTGAGCTTTTGGAAGCCAGTCAAGTCACACACTAGACAGGAGATTAAAGCCACAATGAACCAATTTAAACGCCTGCACATTCTAATGTGTTTCCAAACAGAGCATTCAAAGATGGGGAGTGGCTGCAGGGAACATATTAACTGGCTAGAAAAAATCAAAACAGCTCTGAAAGAAAACAGCGTTGGGAGACTGATCTCCAAACCACGGGCCCACGTCCCGGAGCAAAGCCCACTCTGCGTCGCCCGCTCCCTTCCCCTCGCTGACGCGTCCTTCCCCCCAGCGCGCATCTGGTGGCGGGTCTCCTGCAGTCCGATGGCAGAGCCCGCCCAGTGCAGGGACCCGGAGGGGGCCCAGGTTCCCAGTCCACACTTACGGAACAACCAGCTGATGCTGGAGAACTGAGGGCCCGTGAACAATTCAGCCAATGTTAAGAAACTGTTTGTTTATTTTATTTAAAAGTAACCATTTCCTTTCTGGAAAATTCACAAAGTGCCTAAGAGGAAGAATAAGGAAACAGGTAAACTTCCAACTGTGGTTCCACAGACCACGGACAAATCGTCCTTAACCAAGTGGCCTCCGAGGACACCAGGCCGGGAAAGGAGAGGCCTGAGCTCACAGGGGGCGGCTGCAGCCACTTCTGCCAGTTCAGTCACACGGACCCTGTAATGGCAAGACTTCCCAACCTTTCTCTACGAGTCTAGTTTTTTTGTGGTTGTTTTGTTGCATTTTTATTAATCATAGAGTTGTGACTACTAAATATACGACTTGGTCTCGTTTTTTGGTATTATCGTTATATCCTAAGAATTCTCCATCACAAATTCATTTTAAGCGTACTTTTTGTTGGCTGAATAATATTTTGAAATGCAAGTCTACCTTGCTTTAGCTAACTCATCCCCTGTTATTGGCATTTGGGTTGTTTCTAGTTTTATTTTGTTATGCCTTTTTAACTAATGCTGTGATCAATTTTTGGGGCACTGAGCTTTATACTGATTCTGGGCTATTTCAACCTTTGTGGAGGGCTTACTCTGTGCAAGGCATTATGGGAGATTGGAGGTTAAGCTGGACCCAATCCCTTCACCTCAGATGCAGATATAAATACCTTTAATCCACTGTAGGTTCTAGTGTCCATAAGCTGACAATTAGAACTGGAATACAGAAGAATTTTGCTGGGTTTATGGGACTTTAAGAAAGTTACGTGAGAAAATCAAAGACTCTGCATCCACTGCTAAAAGGTGAGAGGAAGAGAGGAAGGAGGCGTGTAGCCTGGGGCGCTGGCTTGGCTGGGAGGCCTGGGCCAGCAGGCAGGCGTCACCTGTGACAGGCAGAGCAAGTGGGCGTCATCTCGGGTGCTGAGCCAGTTGATTGTCAGTGGCTGCCAGGAGGCAGGAGGTCCCTGGCTCGGTGGAAACACGAGCAACGTCTGCCGTGGATCCCAGCTGGTGGAGAAGGGGCCGCAAGACCCCTGGCTGACGTGGCCGGCCCCAGCCTGAGAGGTTAATTCCAGGTGAGGTTCGGAGACTGCCATCAGCTTGGCCGATGCCAAAAATTGTGTTTCTTAGGTGGGGGATTCTCGATCCATTCAGATGAAGATTCATTATCTGTCACCGTCATCTCAGACTGTATGTGTTTTAGGAGGGGCTTCAACCCAAAGAGACAGAAGAGAGCGGCCCCCGAGTCCCAAGGTGGGATCAGCGGGGAGCAGAGAAGCCAAGAGGCGCAGAGAGTCTCTGCTAACCCAGTGCCCAGGGCCGCTCTCCCTGCTCCGGGACAGGAGAGCCCAGACCCATCCTCCTGCCGGGCCACTTTCCAGTCCCCGGGCCCCTTGACAAACACAATCGCCGCTGGCTGTGTCGCCCGAGTTGCAGCACCAGGAGGGGTGTTGGTGGGTCTGGCCCCAGTGTCCGTCTCCCACCCCCTCGCCGCCCTGTCGCAGACCCTGCGTCTGGCCGTCTGCCCCATCTCACGTGGTCCTGTCTCCAGCCCGCAGGTGCAATGACGCAGCAGCCACAGGAGGGTTTTGACAGGAGCGTGGAGGACGCGCGGCAGTGGATGAAGGCTGTGCAGGAGCGGCTGCAGATCAGCGACAACACCCAGGGACCACGTGCGGCCCTGGAGGCCAGGCTGCGGGAGACCGAGGTAGGCAGCAGCTGCCGAGGCCACCACAGCCCTGTGGCCTGGGCTGCATCCCTTCCTCTCTGCCCTCAGGTTTCCCGACGTGTCAGCGGCAGCGGTGGACTAGACTAGTGTTTCTCAAACTCTGGTACATCTGAGTCTCCCGGGGATTTTGGCTTAAGTGCAGGTTCTGACCCAGGAGGTCGAGGTGGGCCCGAGATGTGGCATTTCTGACATGCTCCAGGTGGCGATTTTGCTGCCGATTCCAGGTCCATACTTTCATAGTAAGGGTCTGGAGCCCGCCTTCTGGCCCTCCTGTCCTGACAGGGGGCACCGTGCAGCCAGGTGGCCCCCACCTCAGCTGGCCCAGCCTGGCTTCCTCCCCGTCCCTGCTTCCCTGTGGCTGAGGTCCCTGCGGGTCTGGTGGGCCCAGGTCAGCCTTCAGGGGAATGGGGAGGGGGCTCTGCCCAGTGAGGAGGGACCCCCTCAGCTCCTCCAGGGCCAGGGACTGGCTCTACCCCCAACCTGGCACAAGGCAGGGCTCAGTGCATGGGGTGCTGCACTGACCAGAAGTGTGGATGCCCAGTGCCTGGCCTGGCATTGAGGTGCCCCCATCTGAGGGCATGTGCTCCAGGCCAGGGGGCAAGGGGGACGAGCACTGGACTCAGAGTCAGAGACCTGGGTTATAGATCTCCTTGCTGATGCTAGAGTGCTGTGTGACCTCAGCCAAGTCCCTGTCCCTCTCTGGGCCTCAGTTTTCCATCTGGAAGCAAAGCGGTTGACTTACATGTCTCTCGAGTCACCTCCGTTGAGATATTCCACAATTCTAATTTATCACCTGTCAATGGTTGCTTTTAAGGGGGCGCTTACCTTCTCCTTCACAAGCTGATCCCCCGACTCGGAGCTAACCCCACACCCAGATCCCTGTGTGCTTTCTTTTTTTGTGCTCTCCTATTGATTTTGTGCATTTTACTGAAAATAGCGAATACTCTTTTGCAAGTGGACAGTGAAAGTGAAGACTTTACACCACCTTTCAGGGTAATGATTTAAGCTTCACCACGTTATGAGGGAGGGGCCATTGTCCATTGTCTGCCTTTACCGTGGGGAAACTGAGTCTTGGGGCGGTCGTGTGGCTTGTCCGAGTTGCAGAGGTCTCTGGAAGGACGTCCGCCATGGAATTCGGGGCTCCTGCCTCCTCGTCAGGTGAGCGTCCTGCTGCTGTAAGCATCACGTGCTTGTCAGGAGCCAGGTCTTCACAGCAAACTCGTGCCTGGCTGGGTCAGGGAGCGGGGGCCCCGGTTTCGCAAACATTCTGTCTGATAAAAACGCTCGCTGGACTAGAGAGAGGACAGACTGTGGGGTCTGCACGGCCTGGGTTCAAATCCCAGCTCCGATTCTTGCTGGTGATTCCCTGCCAGTCACTTGACCCTGCTGGGTCTCAGTTTACCTCCCTTCTGGAATGGTGTGGTGCTGATTCTCAGAATGCTGACCTGAGGCAAGCGGGGGACACCAAAGGGGCTCAGTAAGGGGTGGCGTTGTTGCCAAATGAATGACTGTTCGCTTAGGAGAAAGCACTGTGCTACCTGCGAAGCTCGATGCCAGTGCCCGGAGCTGGCGGTGACCGTGACGCCCTCTGCCACCCCTTCCCCGCCCCGGTCCCCCACCAATGCTTTTCTCCCCAGTCACCTGCCGTCCGATTTGCCCTCAGAATAGTCCTTCTCTGTCCTCCTTGGCTGACCCCATGGGCCTGAGACCCTCCCCTTTGGTCCCGATCCCCCCCAGGCCTCCAACCAGGGCCTCGGGACCCAGGTGAGCGTCCCTGGTCCCAACACAGCCCCTTGCCACATACCTTGATTAATACAGCCCTGCACCTCTGAGGCCAGCACAGCGAGGCCCGCGTCTCCCAGGGGGAAAGGTCGCCATCCCCGTGTGACCGTCACCGCCGAAAGGAGGGGGTGACCGCTCCTGAGCGATCCGGTCAGAGGCTTCCCGGTTGGATGGTGAAGTGAGTGCAGAACCTGGGGCACTTGGGGCGCCCCCAGGAGGTCACGTCCCCCGGCCTGGGGCGTCAAGAGAGGCCTCTGAGGACCTTTACTGCCAAGGCTTAAGTGAGGAGCAGTTAGCCAGATTGGAGATGCAGGGGGGACGGAGGGGAGGAGGGGCTCCAGGTGGAGGGACAGCGTGGGAGGGGCACTGGAGGTGGGCACGGCAGGGGGCACGTGCGGGAGCCCCGACAGGGTTGGTGTTGGGGCAGCGTCGACCGTCAGGCAGAAGCGGGAGACAGGGCCAGAGAGCAGGGCAGGGGTCAGAGGGTGACAGCCTCGAACGCCGAGCCAAGGAGGATTCTGAGCCAGGGCGGATTGGAAACTGGAAGGTCAGGCGTTGAAGGGATGGGGCAAGCCTGGAGGTGGGAGAGGAGGTGGCAGCCCAAAGCCCCCTCCCTGGTCAGACTTGGCCTTTGTCATCACCATCATTGTTAGTGTCACCGATAGATTTATCGAATGATTACTCCGCCCCGTCTTGGGAGAGGGGGACTGACATCCATGCACCGCCTATTATGTGCCCAAGGCTGTTCAATTTCACAAAAGCCCCGTGCATGTGGTTTTACTGTCCTCACTTTTCGATAATGACATGGACTCCTAGACACAGTGACAGGCCAAAATTCAAGGAATTGATCTGGTCAAGGGCTTGAACCCAGAGCTGAGTCCAGAGTGTCACCGGCCATCCCCACATGGAGGCCTGGGTGGTGGAGGCAGATAAGGCACACCCTGCTCTTGGGTTCATGGCATAGCAGGGGACAGGGATGCACATAATCCAGGAAGCCACACAAGTATGTGTAAGGAGCATCCCTAACATGTTATTCTCCTCCTCTAAAACCTTCCATGGCTCCCTATTGCCCACCAAAGTAAAACCAAACTTCCCTTGGTATCCAAAGTCCTCCACTATCTATATGACCCTGTCTTCTAGTCTTGGCTCCTGTCGCCATCCCACCTCCCAGGCACACATCCTCTCCTGTTGGCAGAAAACCTCCCAGATTTCCTATTACTAAGCCTTTGTTTGTGCCGTTGCCTCTACTTGGAACGCCCTTTTGTTTGGCTGTGGGTGTGCGTCTGAAATGAAATGTTCCTTTGTCCGAGAGTCTTCCCACACCCCCTCCCAGTCCCAGCTCCTGACGTCCCCTGTCTGGCAACACCAGCGTGTCCTCGCTGCCTCTTGGTGCTCAGCCCTTCGGACTTTGTGGCCTTAGCCGGCAGGTCATGACCCCCTGGCGGTGGGTCTGGCTTAAGCGAAGGCAGGGGTGGTGCTTAGGAAGAGTCGTTGGCGAGGCCAGAGTGAAGGGGCCCTGGAAGCGGGGGGCACTTCCATCAGGTGAGCCCCCGGGGACTTGATCTGGAGCCCAGGCAGAGGGAGTCCCGTCCTGGGAGCCCCCCACCGTGCTCTCCCCTGGGCTCAGGCACACACGTTTTCTGTGCCCTTTGACATTCCAACCCAATTTCACAACAAGAAGGAAAACATTTCACTCCTGCCATCTGGTGCAAGGGCAGAGCTAGTGCCTTCTCCACTCTCCCCCCCGCCCATGGGACCTCCCCTCGGGGTCTGGGCCATCCCTTGTGATCCCTCCGCCAGCTCAGTGACACATGTCCCCTGCCTGTTTGCTAGGGGGACCGGAATGTGAGTTCTGATCCAGCTCTGATGCTTAGTGGCTGTGTGTCTGGGGGCAAGTCCCATGTCCCCCGCAACCTCATTTTCCCAGCCATAAAGTGCGAGAAGAACCCCTCGCCCCTTGTGCCCAGGGGCTGCGGGAGGCTCAGGGACCCTCACAGAGGTGGATGCCTTCTGTGAGGGGAAAGTGGAGAGAGAGATGGGAGGCAGGACGCACAGAGGTTGGGAGCTTGGGCTCTGGGGCCGGCGGGCCTGGGTTCGATCCCCGCTATGGCCGTGGCATCGTGGGAGAGTTTCCGGAGCTCCCTGAGCTTCAGCTTACTCGGGGTGGAGGGAAAGTGGTAGTTGTCCCTTCAGGAGGGACGGAGGATTGAGGAGAGTAACTTACTGGCTGCTTGGCTAAGTGCAGTTGGCGCTGGCAGAGCCGGCCCGATGGAGAGGGTCCTTTCCTGTGGTTTCCATGCAGGGGTGCACCTGTGCCCACTGTCCCACCCCCCCCCCACCCCGTCCCAGCCCCCAGGAGCTGGTCCCCTGGATCCCAGCGTCTTGTCCCTTGGCCCTCTGGTTCTAGCCTCCTCGGCCCTGCCCTTGGGGCCTGGCCTTAGCCAAGCTGCTCCCTAGCTGGCTGCAGGCCCCTTCGTGGTCAGGGACGTGCTGCATTTCCTAGGACTTCCAAAAGCCAACGCACCAGCCCTAAACACTCAGCTTCTCTACCTTTGCTCAAGCTCCCATCTCAAATGTCTGCACGTCACAAGGCTTGGTGCCAGCGCCACCTACTCACAAAACCGTCTTGGATTTCCCCACATCCCGCCTTGGAGCTCCAATAATCCTTTGTGGTCTCTTGTCTGCCGACCACACCATGGCCTGCAAGCACCGGGCCATATTTGTTTATCCTGGACTCCAGTGCCAGCACAGTACCTAGAATAGTACCTAGCACAGTGCCCAACACAGTACCCAGCATAGTGCCCAGCATGGTACTCAGCACAGTACCCAGCAGAGTACTTAGCACAGTGCCAGCATAATACCTAGCACAGTACCCAGCACAGTGCCCAAAATTGTACCCAGCATAGTGTCCAACATAGTACCTGGCACAGTGCCAAACTCATTACCCAGCACAGTACCCAACTCAGTACCTAGTATAGTGCCATCCTGGTCTTGGCTGTGTTGAGGGAAAGCCCTGACTAACCTCATTCCTTCAGCTTTCCTGGTCTCCTGGTTCTTCTCCCTGCTGGAGTTTTCCCTCCATCCAACCCTCAGCTGACTGTTGCCCTCATTGGCTCCTTCAAATCGGAATTGTTTTGTGGCTGCAGTTCAAGTACCCTTCCCAGCTGGCTTGTGTCCCTTGCCCAGCATTCCTGGACCAGCTCCTTTCTCGTGATGGCTATAAAACCTCACAGCAGCCAAACCTCACCTAATCCTCAGGGCAGTGAAGAAGGGTGGAATCTACTTCTCGAAAGTTGGCTTTGCCAGCTCAGCCACAGCCTCTGACCCCTGGCCTCCTGGGCCCAGGCCCACAGCCAACATCCCCCTAGTTGATATGCAGGCTTCTGCTTCAGGCCGGGTGGGGCTTGGTGTTCTACCTGCCTTTGGGACTGGCCAGCTCCTCTCTCTGGCAGGGAAGCAACAGGCTCATTCCCCTGAAAGGGCAGCAGGTCTCAGGTCTCCCTTGTTCCCGAGTCCAGCCCGTGCCTACCTGACCAGGAATCAGGAGGACACAGGTCCAGGGGCCTGGATGAGGTCGCACAATCAGGACACTAGGCATTGTCCTATGCGGGCTTTCCAGGCCTCCTGGCCCCTTCTGGGTGTGGCAGAGAGAGCCTGAACTGAGTTTCTGCCCCAAAGCTGTTGGCTCTCTTCATTTAAGGAGCTGGATTCCGACGGAGCTTAATCGGGCAGCAGGAAGAAGGCAGCCTCCCTGCCCGCGGCGGAGTTGTTCTGCGGGGCTCGACGTCTCTGTGGGTCCCCAGCGCCCTTGTTTGTGAAACTGGAATTGCTGTGGTGCCCTCGTCTTCGCTTGGGGAGTGGGCACGCCGTCTGCCCCACGACTCTGGGTGTCAGAAATATCAGATCCTTAATCTTCTTATTCCTAATCAAATTACATCTCACTGGATGGCAGGAAGTTCGTCCTCAGCCGCGTCGTGGGACCCCTGCTCCTGAGCGGTGTGAAGTGTTCTGGGCAGGGGGTGGGTAATCTTACTCTGCCCAGAACCTCCCACAGGCGCCCCCAGACCTTTAGTCCACACCGATGGCTGTGGTACCCTTGCTTCCGTGTTGCTGCTTGCTGCGCAGCGGGACTCGGGTCCCCGCTAGGTGCTTGCGGCAGCCATTGCCCACTGGCCCTGCCACGTCCTGCTGCTTGGCCCGGCCCCGAAACCCAAACAAAACCTCCTCCCCTGTGTTGGGACATCTGCCCGCTCTTCCCTCCCCCAGCTCCCGCACCCACTCAGCCTGCGGAAGGGGCCCGCTGAGTCCCACTCTGGGATCACGCAGGAGGGGCAGACTCTCTGTGCTGTCCTCATCGTCCTCATCTTCCTTGTTGACCATTCTCAGAGAAAGCAACAAAAGCGCTGGCACCAGTGCCCATGTGCACATGTTGGGGGAGGGTCTCCGTAATGGTTCAACGGTTTACAAAGTCTACTCATGTATCAATGGTGTAATTAATAGTACTTTTTACATTAATATTATAACCCTAGGAGGCAGAAAAAGCAGTCATTGTTATTGCTATCTCAGGGTTGAGAGAGGGAGGCCCAGAGTGGTCAAGTGACCTACCCAGGGTCACACAGCTATCAATGGGGTAGCTTTTGACACAGCAGGGACCCCTCCCGCACCCCAACCACAAAGAAGGATCAGACGGCCAGCCCACTGGGACATCAGTCAGAGAAAACACTGACACCCCCCGGGGAGGAGCCTGAGCTTTAGGCAAATGTCATGCTGCCAATGAATACAGCTCAGAAGGTAAGCAAAGCCACCACTAACAGTGGACAGTCAGCGATTGAGAATGAATGATGGGCCGGGCAGTATGCTAATGGTTCTCGCTGTGTCACACAACGCTCACTGTCACCCTTGGTGGCATAACCATTGTCTTCCCTATTCCACAGGCCTAGAGAATTTAAGCAGGGGGTCGTGCAGGTGGTAGGGAGTGGCCCTGGAATTGGAATCCAGGCATTTTTTTACTACAAGGACCAAGCTTTAGTTGCTGAAGATCTGGAATAATAATTAATAATGACAATAACTAATGTTAAACAGAGACATCCTATTTGCTAGACGTTGTGTTTTAGTCTTGGGGCTCCAAGAAGCCAACGCCAAGAGGAGATGAAATGTGCACAATGTTTCATAGGGAGAAGCCTGAGGGGAAATATTGGGAGGGAGCACAGAGAGGCTGGGAGGATGGAGCCCTGAGCCCCGGAGACCAGGAGCATCTCGGACTGCCCTTCGGTTCTAAGGAGTTTGGCAAGAGCGTGGGGCATCCTGGACCACCTCCATCAGAGGAGCCCAGTATCTCCCAGGAACCAGCCTGCCTTCGTGTTCCTGCTCCATCACTGGTGGGAGCAGCTGAGGGAGCAGGGTCTTGGTGCAAACTGCAAACTCCTAGAGAATTTTGGAGCCTCAGCCGGGGCCCTGCGTCAAGCCCACGCCCTTTGGTAGACCTGAGGCAGATTCCCACGGCCCCACCCTCTGTGACCTGCACTTTACATGCATTTTCTCATTTCATCCTGAAAACCTCTGAGAACTAGATACTATGAAAACCCCCAGTTTACAGATGAGAAAACTAAGTCCAAAGAGACAATGGAACTTTTCGAGTTCACACGGCTGGAAATGGGCCAGTGGGGAAGGAGAGGCCCTCCTCACCCCAGACAGCCGGGCAGTTCTGTGCTCATTACCCTGCTCCCTGCTCGCCCTCAGAGCCGTCAGCAGGCTGCCCAAGGTCACAGGAGACGATGCAGGGGCTGCCATTCAAACCCCGGCTCCTCTGGTCCCCACCGCCTGGCTCTTTCCATCGCGCACTGTCTTCCCAAGGCTCTGCCTGTTTGCATTTTGTCTAATCCCCGGAAACTGGCTTTTGTGTCCCCGACAGAAAATATGCCAGCTGGAGCCCGAGGGGCGCGTGAAGCTGGACCTGGCGCTGCGGGCGGCCGAAGCCCTCCTGGCATGCTGCCCCGAGGACCAGAAGCCAGAGATCCTGGCCCGGCTGAGGGACATCAAGGCCCAGTGGGAGGAGACCGTCACCTACATGACTCACTGTCACAGGTGGGGCAGCCAGGGACCTGCCAGGCCTTCGTGTGCAGCTGTCGCTGACCTCCTTGCCACCACCACGCTGGCCTGGGGCCTCTGCCAGAGGGACATTTCTCCAGGCCTGGGAACAGGAGGTTCTCTTGGGATTTGAGCCAGCCCTGCCTGCCTCTGTCTAATTAAAATCAAGCTTAATGATGATAATAGACGGTGGGAGCCCACTGTGTTTTGCCAGCAATGAATTCCTGGTAGACTTGCCACGCGTGCATCCTCAGCAGAAGGGCAGTGGCCCTGGAGTGACAGGGCCTGCTGTCTTGCTAGCACTTTAGCCCAGATTCTCTGCCCAAACCAGGGAGCCAAATGGGGGTGGAGGGCTTCGACAGACCTGGGTTTGTCTGTTGCTCTGCTGGTTACTTGCTGTGTGGCCTTGAGAAAGTTACTTGACCTCTCTGAGCCTCAGGCTCCTCCTCTGGACAATGGCTGTAACCAAGTGTTCCTTTGAAGGTTGTTAGGAAGACAGAAGGGGATAGCAAATGTCCAGAGTGAGGCACAGTGCTTGGCACACAGTAGGCCCTCAGTCAACCAGAGCTGCTTGCCTCCTCTCCATCTTTATAAAACCAGAACGTGAGTGGACTGGGGCACTTTGCACAGTGATTTCAAATCCTTTCACTTGGAATTCCAATCAAAGTGACTTGATATTGGCTGGACAGACAGGGCCAGCTCCATGTTACGGATGGGGAAACTGAGGCGGGTGAGGCGGCAGGGTTATGCAGTGAGTTCACGGCACCCCTGGGACCCACACACAGATCCCCAGCCTTCCATCCCCACTTAGCAGTGACGAGCCCACAGATGCTATTGTGCTCTGCAGGCTGTTAGACACTCTCCCGGTGGCAGTGTTCTCGTGACTATTGGTGGGCACGCATGTGGTCAGAGCATGTGGCTTGTGCTACATCCCGACACCAGAGCGAGACAAGTGGCTGGGGATGTCGTGCATCAGTAATGGGAGTTTAGAGCTGGAATATGGGTGCCGGAGGCTGACAGCTCCCCAGGCTGCATCAGCAAGGCCGGCGGTTCTCAGAGCCAGTCTGGAATCTGAGCCCCATTGACCCATGGAGCTTATTTACCGTCTAGTAGGAGTGAGGTGGGGCCCAGAACCTGGAGTGCCAACAAGCTGCCCAGGTGACCCTGAAGCCCAGAGAAGGCGTCATTGTTCCTCCCTCCCACAGCCCCCTAGTGCTGGGGTGGGCGCCGTGGCCTGTCCTCTCTGCCCGGGAGCCAGGAAGGCAGGTGGGTCACAGCCCCCTGGTCTCTGTGCCCACAGCCGCATCGAGTGGGTGTGGCTGCACTGGAGCGAATACCTGCTGGCCCGGGATGACTTCTACCGCTGGTTCCAGAAGATGGTGGTGGCGCTGGAGCCGCCCGTGGAGCTGCAGCTGGGCCTGAAGGAGAAGCAGTGGCAGCTGAGCCACGCCCAGGTGCTGCTGCACAACGTGGACAACCAGGCCGTGCTCCTGGACCGGCTGCTGGAGGAGGCGGGCTCCCTGTTCAACAGGATTGGGGACCCCAGCGTGGACGAGGACGCCCAGAAGAGGATGAAGGCAGAGTACGATGCAGTGAAGGCCAAAGCCCAGGTGGGTAAGGTGTGGTGGGCTCTGTCTTCACCCGTCCATCCGTTTATCCACCCCTGTCTGCCCATCCGGCCACTCATTTGCCCACTAACCATCTACCCATCCATCTACTCACCATCCACTACCACCAGCCCAACACCTTGCCACCCACCTACCCACCCACCACCATCCGTCCATCTCCCCCCCTCCTATCCACTCACCCATCTTTCTCCCCAACAAACTGCCAAATCTCCCAGTCACGATCCATTCACTCACCACCCCATCCACTTACCTACCCAACCATCTATCCGTCTACCAACCTCCTATCCATTTGTTTATTCACTCATCCATCTACCTCCCCACCACTAACCAATCTCCTATTCGTCTATACAACCACTTAATCACCCACCCATCCATCTATCTACTCGTTCACCTACTCATTAACCTGCCTCTTCACCCACCCATTCATTCATCCATCTCTCCACTGTCGGCTACCCACCCACTGTCTACCCCTTCACCCGCCTACCTACTCACTCACTATCTGCCTGTCACCCATCTTCATCAGCTCACCCACCCACCACCTAACTACCCACCCAGCAATCTTCCATCCACCCATGCACCCACCCTTCCGCCATCCACTCATCCATCAACCCATTGTTTCCATCCACGTGCCCAGTGTCACTCTGTGGTTTATACACATGTGGGCGCTTGATACGTGTGTGTTGACTGACAGATGGACCGTGAGGTTGGCTTTTACCTGGTTCCCCTCCTGTCCTCCCGTCCCTCCTCCTGCCCTTTAGCCTTTCCTCCTCATCTCTGACTTGCTCTCCCCCCATCCCTCTGCCCATCCTTGTCCCCATTCCCTCATCTCATCCTTATCTTCATTTTCAAACAGTCCATTGAGTTATGAAGTTCAATTACTATTATTTTTAAAGAAATTCTATTTGAGCAGTTATTACATCTGCCGTTCTTTTTTTCATTGTGTCTCTTTTTCCCTTAAATTTGGCACCCCTTCCAGATATGGATGATATCTGTAATCATTCTAAGTGCACAAATTTTGCAATCTCCATCAGCTTGCTCCAGCAGCTGAAGGTCTGGGGCCTGACACTGCCGTCTGCTGGGTGTCCTGACGTGGTGGGTCGTTTCCTCGAGGGCTGTGTGATTTTGAGCTGTGAGCATCCTAAGCAGGGCTTTATCTGAGGACCCCATGGCCGGGGCCTGGCCTCAGAGGAGCTCCACAGAGCCAGGCTTCCCAGGGAATTGACCTTCCTAATTCCCATTTTTATGTCAGAATATTGGCTTGGGTTCCTGAATCAGGTGAGAGCTCTGAACTTGAATCCTTAGCCAAAATTATCCACGAGGCCCCTGGCTCCGTGCTCTGAAAGGTGACTGCTGTTTTCATTTGTTTTTGTTTTTTTATCCCAGAGCCTGAGTTGAAACACAAGCTTCCTTCTCCTATTGTGCTTATGGGGAGATTTTTTTTTCTAGTTCTAGAGATTTCTGTGCCTTCACAGAGGGACAGCTCCTTGAGGCATCTGCCTTTTTGCAGTGGTCTCTCCCCCTCTGCGCCCAAAGTCTGCTTTCCTCCTCCAGCCTGAGCATTAAACCTGAGAAGACCCCAAGTAGACGTGTGAGCTGAGCAGTCTGGTTTCTGTAACTCCTTTGCTGCTGCTCCACGGGTCTCTCTTACCTTGGTGTGCATGCAGGTCTGCATTTGAACAAGCTTGTTCTACTTTATGCAGCGTTTCTGGCTGCTGTGGTGGATGGTATGCAGGCTCACTAGTCCTCCGCCGTGCTGGACCTGGAAGTCTCCTGGGCCCTTTGTGTTTACAGGCTAAGAGAAATAGTTCCATCATAAGCAGAGACCTGGGAATCTGTTATCAGGACAGGATCTGGCCCCTGACTGCCTGGGAAGGGACCCTGCTTCAGGACAGGCTCTGCTGCTTCCCGGGTGTGTGGCCTCAGGGCAGCTCTCCCTACCTGTAACCAGGTGCTGAGGACGGAATGAGTTCATGTGCGAGCTCTGTGAAAACTGGCGAGCATCTTCCCAGCATAAGGGCTTCACTCTCAGTAGCAATGAAAATAAATAGCAACGACCATGGTGTTGGACTCACAGCCGGTGCTGGGAGCTATTATTGAATGAGAGAGAACCCCACCCCTGCCACTTGAAGGCACACAGCGCCCAGGGCCCCAGAGGGGCGTGGCAGGAGGGTCCCGGTGCTGCGCAGGTGAGGCAGCGATGACTTCCGGCTCTTGCAGGTGTGGCCAGTTGGCCCTCACCAAGGGCCGGGGCAGGTGTACCTGCGATTCTCTCTCCAGGTCTGCCCCTCGGGCCCCGCAGGGAAGGTGCCTGGTGCCATGGCCTCCTTGGGGTGACTCCACAGGAAACAGGTGCTTCTGCCCACCAGCAGAGAGCCCCTCGCGCAGCGGGTGGAGGAGAGGAAGCAGAAAGCGGTTGGGCGTGTGTACATGTGCATGCGTGCGTGCATGTGTGTGTGCATGTGTGTGTATGGAGGTGACGCCAGGTGGGCACCACTTCTGGCCACGTGCAGAAATGATCATCTCAGAGCTCCTCATGGTCACTCCAGGGGACTCTCCCCTCAGTGGATCCAAAAAATCCTAGAAATCACGGCTCGTATCAGCAGCTGCCATCTTTTCTAAGTCTCATGTCTTTGACTTCTTTTGGTCCTCCAACCTTCTTACGTCGTAGATAGAGAAGATGTGACGGGGCCTGTGTTTTAGACTTAAAAAGAAAATCTAAGTGTCAGGTACACTGGCCCACTGGAAAGAACCAGAAGTGTTCTAGGTGGCTCCCAACGTGGCCTCTACCTCTGTTTGTACCTGCGGTCCTGTGCCCATCAGGACAGAGCTGGGGCCGCGGGTGCTTCTGTGCGTCAGGCTGAGCACGCAGAGGCAGGAGTAAGTGGGAGGTCAGAGCTCCTGGAGGAGGGAGCGCGTGGCTTCCAAGTGTTTTCACGAGGCAGAGGTGAGCGAGCAGGGTCCTGCGGGCCAGAGCGTGGGGGCCTCTGCCCCATCAGGATGGTGTTGGGGAGGGAGCTGCCTCCCTGGGGGGAGCTCTCAGAGTTGCCGGACCAGCTGGTCCGTGCCGACCCCAATGTGGAAATGGGGTGCTGGGGTTTGCAGAGTGACTGGATCCTGTGTAGAGAAGTAAATTCAGTTTGGTCTTCCAGCTGTGGGCTGAAGCTCCCAGACTTGGTTTTCCCCTCCTGGCCATCAGAGGTTTGGCAGCTCTGTGCTCACGCCCAGGAAACCCCATTTGCTCTTGGATGGGGAGGGGTATGTGAACCACGGAGCTGTTTCTCCTCTCTCCCAGAGCTGGCTGTAGGGTGCGGAGTGCCCCTTCGGGCCCTTTGAGGTTATATTCCACCTGTTGCATGTGTGCAACCCTGCTGCAGAGAGGAGCCATGGCTGCCCTCAGATTCCCAGGGTGCTGTGAGCTTCAGAAGACTGAGGGGCTGCGGAGAGGGGCGAACTTTTACATCGCCTTTAGCAAGAGGTTTAACTCCCCTCCCCAAGGTCCTCATTAGGAAATAGGCTGTTGTAGCCCCAGGCAGCAACCTCGTGGCCTCCCCCGGCCTGCCAGCCCTAGATGGAAGGATAACCCTCTGGCTCCATGCTAAGCAGGATGGGGGCACTGCACGTCCAGTAGCCCCCAGATGCCTCCTGGTTGCCTGCTCTGTATGTCTGATGAAGGCCTCCCCTTGCATCCAAGGCTGTCTCGATGATGAGAAGCCATTTGGAGGCGGGCAGCCGAAATCCTCCTCTCCCGGTGACAGGACTAGAGCCGTGTGGCGATTCTGCGAGGTCCAGGCCTTTTCTCAGAGTGGCGAGGGTCCCTGGGGTATTGTCTTCGTCTGCTCAGGCTGCGGTAACAGAATACAGACTGGGCGGCTTAAACAGCAGGAATGTAATTCTCATAGTTCTGGAGGCTGGAAGCTTGTGAGCCAGGTGCCGGCAGATTCGGTTCTGGGTTAGGGCCCTCTTCGTGGCTTGCAGACGGCTCTCTGATATCTCTTCTTCTAAGGGCACCAATCCCATCATGAGGGCCCCACCCTCACAACCTCATCTGATCCCGGTTATCTCCCACAGGCCCCAGCTCCGCACCCTGAGGGTTAGGGGGGCCTTCCGTATATGAATCTGGGGAGGGCAGAATTCAGTCCGCAGCAGATACCGTGTGTATTAATACCTTGACTTTCACCGATGGGAGCCCATTTCAACATTTCTCATGCTAGTTAACAGGCCATTATTTTCACCTCCGAAAATCCATTTTTGACTTCCAATTTGTTAATTAGCAAAGCTTCTGGTGTTGATGGGAACAGGACCACAGAAGCGCCGTGAGGGCCGCCTCTGGACTGGGGCCTTGGTGGCCAACCCCTAGAGAGAGATTCTTGACCAGGACGGCTGGTCAAGTCCGGGGTGAGCAACAGCACGCTGTCAGCCCAAAGCGTTTGAAAGTCCACAATGGACAGAGCAGGCTGGTTGCCAGGAGGGTCCTGCTTGTTTATTTTGTCTGAGTGTTTTAATCCATGGATCTGTTTTCCGAAGGGCCAGGCCAATAGCAGCGTCTTCCTCCTCCCTCCTTCCCGGGCAGCCCTCAGAGGAGGCGTGTTCGGCTGGCATCTGGGCCGTGAATCAAAGCCGTTCGTGCACCCCCTTGCAGAGGCATAAATCCACGCCGCCCTTGTTAATTGGTTGGGTTTTGACATTCCTGACAACCCTGCCCGGCCACAGATGGTTTAATTGTTTGGTCTAACGAGAGAGGGTTGAGCACTCTCCCATTTGTCACCCCTGTCATCCTCCCGACGCGGCCGGCCCGGCAGCCGCTGAATCGCGCTCTGTGATCTCATTATGCCTGGCACCGAGCTCGTCTGGACGCCTGCCCTGCTCGGCCGCGGTCCCCTCCGAGCGCCTGCTCAGCATCACGGAGACCTTTATTTACTCTGGATTTCCCCAAGTGCCAGCACCTCATCGCTCACACGCACACACGCACACACACACACAGATGACTTTCACTGGAGAGTTTGTTTTGCTATAACATTTATCACCATCAGCGTCAACCGGGGACCCAGCATTTATTCTCTGCTTATTATTCCTGACCCACTTTGTTTCATAAATGAGCCCTTCCTGTGGATGGAGGAAGGTCTGTGAGGGTTTTGATGGATGCAAATCCCTCGGGAAGGCGGAGCCAGCAAGGGAAACACGAAGGAGCCAGTCGCCGTCCCTTGGTCCACTTTGGGAATTTAAGCAGCTGCATGTGTTTCCACCCACCATGTGCTGCTGTTGAAGCTCTGAGCCTCGCTCCCGTAGGCGAGAGGCTTCTCTGCTCATCTCTGAAGGATTTGGTCCTGTGCCTTGCTTGCCCCATCTCTAAAATGGGGATATTTTCTTCTACTTGCAGTGGTTGTAGCAGAGTTTTAAATGAATTAGTTAGTATTTCTTTCTTTCTTTCTTTCTTTTTTTTGAGGAAGATTAGCCCTGAACTAACATCTGCCACCAGTCCTCCTCTTTTTTGCTGAGGAAGATTGGCCCTGAGCTAACATCCGTGCCCATCTTCCTCTTCTTTATATGCGGGACACTTGCCACAGCGTGGCTTGATAAGCAGTGCATAGGTCCCCACCCAGGATCTAAACTGGGGAACCCCAGGTCGCCAAAGTGGAGTGTGCAAACTTAACCGCTGCGCCACCAGGCCGACCCAGTTAGTATTCCTAGATTTGGTGAGGAGCCTTTCAAAGGGAGGGCAAGGCCAATGCAAATAACCAGGGAAGGTTTTCAAATCCGTGTGTTTCCACACTTACCGGGCTAGAGCTTTTGCGTAGCTTCCGTGGTGGTCAGGGCCCTTTTGGACGTGGCCTGGCTCCCTGGCTGAGAGCTGAAGTCAGCAAACTATGGCCCCCGGGCCAGATCAGCCCACCTCCCGGCTTTGGATGACCTGTGAGCTAAGAATGCCTTATATGTTTTTATAAGAATGCTTAATACATTAAGGTAAATGAATCGTTTTACACTTTTTTAATGATCGAGGGGAAAATAAAAAGCAGACTATTTCACAACATGTGAAAATGGCATGAAATTCACATTTCAGCATCCATAATTCAAGTCTTATTGGAATCCGACCATTCCTTATGGGTTTGCCCCTCGCTGCTTGTGTGCTATGACATGGTCGCACGTACGTGGTTGAGTAGCTGCAACAGGAACCATCCCTGGGCAGAGCCAAAACCATCCACTGTCTGACAGAAGCGTCGGTCACCCGCCGTCTAGAGCAGTGGTTTTGGAGTCCGACACCTGCCTTGTACGTCACGTCTGCAGGGCCCTGCGAGGTCCTGAGACCTGTCAGCTCCAGTTTGCGGTTTGCAAATGGGAGGGTTTTGAGATTGTTGTGAAGGTTAAATAAGATAATGCCTGTCAAGTTCCGGGCGCATCGTAGGTGCCTGTTAAATGGGAAGCCCCTCTTTCCCTTTTCTTAACTCTCCTTGAAAACCTTCCCCTGGCCGACCCTCCATGTTTATTCTTACAGCCGTTCAGGAAGCTTCGTTCACAGCTGCCCAGAGCCGAACCTGGGAGACGAAACCAACAAGGGGCAGCTCTGCCGTAGGGAGCGCTTGGTCCCCACGGCGGGTGACAGTGCAGTAGACATGCTGTGAGAGAGCCACAGCACAGAGGGCAGGCCATTAATCCAGCCCGGGGCGGTGGGCAAACCTCAGAGAAGGAAGGTGCTGCCTGGAGGTTGGGTGTGACAATGAATGACGGCTCACAGTTCCTAAGCACTTACTAGCTGCCCGGGCTGTTTGCCTTGCTCGAGCTCTGGCTCATTTAACCCCACTGCACCCCAAGGAGGAAGAACTGTTGTTAACCATACAGAGGAGGGGACTGGGCATGGAGGGGTTGATTACGTGCCCCAGGCAGGCCGAGGTTCAAGTCACAGGCCGTGGGCTCCCAAGCCCAGGGTCTCCACCACCGGGCCACAGCCACATCATGGGGTCCTGCCCTTGACTGCCAGGCTGAGGAGGGGAGGAGCTGAAAGGTGCTGTGATTCTGTGTGTTTTGAAAAACAGAGTCTCTAGGCACATAGTAGGTCTTATAGCAGGGACACCGTTATTTCCTCAGATTCAGCCACCCTCAGGACAACATCCTGCCCCTGTGTGATTAGAACTTCAATGGGATTGTCTGAAAGTGGAGATGATTCCAACCCACGCAGACATCGCTGCACTCGCGAGAAGAGGCAGCAGCTGGCTGGTTGCATCCCCCGCAGACACCGTTGTGATGGGGTGGAAACGCGCCCACCAGCCTCGCCTCCCCGGTTCGGATCTTGGTGCTTCCCTAGCCAGGGGACCTTGGCCAAGTCGTTTCACTGCTGTGCCTCAGTTTTCTCATCTGTCATGCTGGGAGAATAATGGTGTCACCTGGTGGGCTGGTCAGGCGAGTTCAATGAGCTGAGCATGTGCGCAATCTCTCAGAGCAGTGCTGGCACCCTGGGGAGCGCTCTGATGATCATAAATACGTAGCAATAGTTGTTACCACGCTTCTGTCTTGAGTGCCGTTCTTAGGACATGGCAGGAAAGAAGGCCATGGATAGTGGACAGGCCCAGTGCTGACATGCTTTGGTCTCCAAAGCCAAGCATCCTTGGCTTATTACTAAGAAGGTAGAGAAGAGTGTCTGGGATCTCTTTGTCTCCAGCAAAAGGGCTGAGGGTTGGTTGCATTCCCACCCTCGCCACACCCAGGCAGACCCTGAAGGCCAGGGCAGCCCAGGCTGGGGAGCCTCGTGGTTACTGACTTTCCTCCCCTCCCACAGGACAGGGTGGACCTGCTGGAGCAGGTGGCCCGGGAGCATGAGCATTTCCAGGCAAGTGTGGATGAGTTCCAGCTGTGGCTGAAGGCCGTAGTGGAGAAGGTGGCCGGCTGCCTGGGGCAGAACTGCAAGCTGACCACCCAGCACCGCCTCTCTGCGTTGCAGGTAACCCCAGCCCGGTCTCCACCACGGGGTCCGCTGAGGGAGCGCTCGCGTTTGGAGGGGTCCATGTTGTACTTTATTTAACGGGGTAGTGCTGGGGCCGCAGGAGATACCAACATCCATGCACGCGGACCCCACGTGAGGAGAAGCATGGAATTGAGCGCCACATGTTTGCTTCCTGGAAATCTCTGGCCCAGCAGGGCATTTGGAAACCCAAGGCCACAGCAGCATGGTCAAGACCAGAGGGCCTCAAATAGGGGATATTTGGCCATGTCTGGGGACATTTTTGGTTGTCCCAACTCGGAGTGGGGATGCTACTGGTATCTAGCGGGTGGAGGCCGGAGATGCTGCTGACCACCCTGTGATGCCCAGGACAGCCCCCCAAAGAAGAATGAGCTGTCCTCAAAGGTCAGTCGTGCTGAGAGTAAGGAAGCCTGGGGCAGGCACCAGGCCTGTGGTCAGAGGAAGCTGGGTCCGCTCTGACCTTCCCAACTCGCCGTGACCCTGAACAAGCTTCTGACTCTCTGTAAAGTCTGTGGGTAGAACATCTTCAATAATTCAAGGACTATTTTATAATTTTTGCCACAGCTGTACAGAACCTGTACCATTTATTTAATATTTGTATTTAAATTGACTCACCTTTAAAAAAACCGGTGAATGATGACCAAAAAATATCTTATATGACTTGTATGAGAATGTTCACAGTGGGGCTGGCCTCGTGGCTGAGTGCGTAACTTCACGTGCTCCACTTCGATGGCCAGGGGTTCGCTGGTTTGGATCCTGGGGGTGGACCTACACACCGCTCATCAGGCCAAACTGAGGCAGCATCCCACGTAGAAGAGCCAGAATGACCTATGGCTAGGATATACAACTATGTATTGGGGCTTGGGGAGGAAAAAAAAAAGGAAAAATTGGCAACAGCTGTTAGCTCAGGGCCAATCTTCCTCACTAAAAAAAAAAGAAAGACTTGGGAGTCAATCCAGCTGGATCTGCAGGTTCTCATCTTGGCTCTGTGTGGATGGCCTCTGTCCTCTTTGGACCCAAGGCCGATCACCTGCACAAAGGGTGATTGGACTGCAGCTTTAAAAAAAAAAGAATGTTCACAGTGACCTTGTTCATAATAGTTCCAAACTGAATACGACTCCGATTTTTATCAACAGATCATTGGATAAACACATTGCAGAAGAGAATATACATAGGAAGGAATATTACTCGCAATAAAAAGGAATGAAGTACTGGTATACACGACAGCATGGAAGAATCTAGAAAACATGCTGAGTGAAGGAAGCCAGTTTCAAAAGAGACTACATTCTACGATTTCAAATATATGAAGTTCTAGAATCTTCTGGGGTGTTAGAAATGCCCTTTATTTTGATAACAGGGTGGACTACCTGGGCATGCATATTTCTCAAAACTCTTTGAATCGTAACACTTAAGATCTAGATATTTTACTCTGTATAAATAACACTTCTGCAAAAAAGTAAAAAAAATATGTTGAAGGCATTTTCACATAAAACAGATTTAAAGGTGTTTATATAAAACATTTTAAAAATTAAAAAGCTGATGGATGTTTATTTAAAAAGAAAATTTATGTCATTGTCATAAGTGGAAAACCAGTCCCCATTCATAGTTTACAGTAGATAATCACAAAAATAAATATAACAAGACCAAATGGGGTCCTGAGGTTCTATTTGGCTCCATACTTTTGCCAGCTGAAGGCTCCTCTCTCTTTGTTAAAAAGGCAGGTTCACCAATGTCGTAGAGAGTTAAGACAGAGAAGCACCCAACAGGGGCTTTCTCCTTGACGTAATCAGACGGCTTGAAAAAGACAAGACGGAGAAAGGGAATTACTTTCTCACGTTGGGAGTCAGTGTCATTAAGGCAGAAGGTCCACCCCTCGGAAAGGCACCTCTGGCTCTCACCAGGAATCTGGGAATTAGTGGTTGGCACGACCTTCCCAGGGGTTCTGGAAAATGCAGCAAATGTTTTCTTTTTCCCCTCAAGCTTTTTTTTCCATCCGCCCCCTCTCCCCTTTAGGACATTGCCAAAGATTTTCCCAGGGGCGACGAGTCTTTGAAGAGGCTGGAGGAACAGGCCGTGGGGGTCATCCAGAATACCTCTCCTTTGGGTGCAGAGAAGATCACTGAGGAACTGGAGGAGATGCGGAAAGTTCTGGAGAAGCTGCGGCTCCTCTGGGAGGAGGAGGAGGGGCGGCTGCAGGGCCTGCTCAAGTCCAAGGGGGCCTGTGAGCAGCAGAGGAGGCAGCTGGAGGCCGAGCTGGGAGAGTTCAGGAAGGGCCTCCAGAGGCTGGCGGAGGAGGGCCTGGAGCCCCAGGCGAAGGCGGGGACTGAGGACGAGCTGGTGGCCCGCTGGAGACTCTACTCGGTAAGCACAGTTTGGCTGAGCCATGGGCCAGTGCAGGCGCCATGTGTGCCTCAGGGTGTCACCCCTCGGAGCTCCTCCACATGGTGGGAGAATCACGCTAAGCCTTAAGCACACTCTGGTTTTCCTGGTAATTATAGTTGGTAATCTAAGTTGGGTATTTGTATCCATTTTCTGGATGAGGAAACTGAGGCTGGAGAGATTTTTTTTTCGACATCCCCAGGATGGCCTGATATGTCAGTGGGTAAATAAGACCAGAGGTGGATTGGCTCTGGGTTTGCCATTCCCTTGCCCAATGATGAGATGTGGGGTGGCCTTCCCCAACACAGAGCAGGGAGGGAAAGCCCTTAGTGTAAAGATGGTGAGGAACAAACACAGTGGGTGTTCTGGGGAGGCCAAGCAGACGATGCCCACCCTGGGGAGGAGAGGGTGGGTTCCAACCCAGACACGATGTCTGGTCAGACCTCCTCCCCCTCCCCCCACCGTGTGCACACTGCAGGAGGTTTGACTTGAGGACAGAGAGAGTGTTGGAATAAGGATTAACACCTTCCTCCCCCCACCATCCTTATTTATTAACTCAATGGGTTAGCTCATTGTCAGCTCCATTAGGGAAAATTTCTGAAAGATAAGCCGTCCCAGATCCCACCTCCACTCCGCACTGTGGTTCTGTTTTTTCTCTTCCTTCTAATGTTTGCCCGTATGCAAAAATATTTTTGTGTGGGTAGAAAAACCACATCATACTCTTTAGGGCTCATTCAGCCTCGTGGGGACCGGATTCCCCTGCAGTGACCAAGTTCATACAAAGGGGATCATCTCCCTTTAGGGCTGGCTGCCTCAGCAGAGGCTGGTGTGGTGCAGAGGTTAAGGCGGGGGCTTTCCAATCAGACTGCCCAGCTTCAAGTCCTGCTTTGCCTCCTTGCTGAGCGGATGGCTTGAGAATTACTCTAAGCTCAGTTACATGTGAGATGGGGAGCAGGATGCTAGGACCTGGCCCACACATTCCTCATGAACATGTGAGAACAGAATGTGCTCAGAATAGCGCCCGCCGAGGAGCCAGCACTCAGAGGATTGGCTTTGACCCTGTGTTCCGGATGAGGGATGAGGTCGAAGGTACAAACTTGGGAGGGTCAGGCCTGGAAAGCCCAGCCCCGGCTGTCTGTCTTGGCAGCCACTTGGCTGTGCCCAGCTCGGTTTCAGGATGCCTTCCCTGAGGCAGGAGGCTGACCACATCCTTACAGAGGCTCCCTGCCCCACCCGATTCCGGTGTCACTTCAATTATCATCGTCATGACTAACCAGAAATCAATGAAAGGGACTTTCAGAATTTATTACTCGAGACTTTCATTCTTAAACTAGCATTCACGTAGTTACGTTTGCACTTCTTATTATGTGTCCTCCAGCAAGAAGCAGACTTTCCTGACCTGCTCCAGCCCAGCCCTCTGGAGTGACTGCATGCCCAGGGACAAGGCCAGGCGTGTGGCTGTGAGGCAGCTGGCCTGGCTTGGGCTGGGGGCACCCTTGGCCCAGCAGAGCAGGGGAAGGTTGACTGCAGTCACCCTGGCTTGCACCAAAAAAGAAAGTTGGACTGTTTGCCCTCTTTTGAGAAACAGGCAGACTTAGGGAAGCAGGTTGTGTCAGGGCCTCAGCTGAAAGAACAATTTGTAAAGAAAGTCTCTGTGAGGCACGTGTTCACCTTCCGCATTGTCACGGTGAGGTCGTTATTTACCCGGTGGATGCTGTTCTGAGTGCTGCACAGCCCTACGCAAAGGGTGCTGTCACGAACCCTCTTTTAGACAGGGAAACTGAGGCACTGGGAGGCTTGAGGCCTTCCCAGTGGTTGTGCAGCCTACAGGTGGATGCAGGGTCTGGACTTGAACCCAGGCCGTCTGACTCAAGAGTGCGCGCTTCTGGCTGCTGGGCCAGCTCAGGTCCCCAGTTTCAGAAAATGAGCATAACAGAGGAGCAGACCAGCAGGAAGGACGTGGGTGCTCGTCCGGCTGTGATCACTGGCTGATCTCTCCACCTGCGGTCCCAAGACCCTCCCTCACAGAGAGCTGGGGGACAGGAGTGATTTGTGACCTCCCTGTGCTGACCAGGGCAGGACCATTTGTCCATTTCAGGGGGCCTTTTAGCACCTAAGGTTGAAATCAGAGCAGTTTTGTGACTAAACGCGCGAGATGGTCAGGAAACGGAGCTGCCTAGCAGGGCCCATCCTCCCAGGCATCCAAGGCCGCCTACAAACTAAAGATGACAGCGTCATGGGTGCAGATTCAGCATGGCAGGGCTGGCAGGGCCCCTCTTATTTCACAAGGAAGGAAACCGCGTCCAGAGAGGGCCGGAGCTTAGCCAGGCCAGGGCTGTGGGGCAGCGTCCTTCCTGCTCTGGCTCCCTGGTCACTTGCTGCGTCTCCAGCACCCAGGGCCTTTGGCATTTTTGCAACCTGCCTGGCCTCCAATTGGCTCTTGACCTCCCTGTGGTCTGGACAGGCCTTTCTCCCGAGGCGGCCCATGGTCCCGCTCCCCCTGCAGACCCCGGCTCTGCCCGGCTGCGTCTCCGCTTGCCTGCAGTCCGGCCAGCCCTCCTGGGGGCTGAAGTGCCAGCTTCTGCATGGATGGTTTGGAAACTGCCAGTTTACACAAGCCAATTGTGTTTTCATCGTCTATGGAAACTTGTATAGATTTCATTACATTGGCTTCATATTTGAACGTGGACAGGAATGTTTGTGAGGATACACAGGCCTGGCTGGGCAGGTTCTTCATCCTGCTGCCTGCACAGCGCCCCCTCTGGCCTCCAGCCGCTGCCTACATTCCCTCTATTTGAGCTTGCTCCCTCGGATTTAAAACTCTGCTCCCTGTTCACCTGTGGCTCACTAGGGACTGAGCCAGATGGGAGCTGCCCCTGGTCCCTGGGCATGGAGGATCTGGGTGGAACCCGAGGCTGCCCCCTGGGAGAGTGGAGGCGGGCCCCTGCTCTGTACTCAGCGCCTCGTCACCTTGTCAAGCTGTGGGGGAAAGGCCTGTTTTGCTAATGAGGGGACAGCCCAAGCTTGCACAGCTAGGAAGGGGTGCAGAGGCGGGTTTCCAGGCCAGCCTGGGCTACACCAAAGCCACGCACTGTCCACTTCCCCGTTCTGCCTCCTCCCACGCATGGGCCCTTCAAGAGTCAAGGTCAAGGTGAAACTCTGCACTTCCCAGGACAGCAGGGAAAGGCCTGGTTGGAGCGTCGGAACGCAGTGAGTGGAGCGGCTCAGGAGGCTCAGTGCAAACATCCTAGCCGCCTGATCATAACGATAACCAATTCTCAGAGCACCTTCAGACCTCCACGTCCTCTGGTGCTGACGAGGCAGGTTAAGAGCCAGCAGGTCCAGCTCCGACGTCAGGTCCACCTTTTGCCAGCTCTGCAACCATCAGAAAACTCTTAGCCGGCCTTTCCTTGTGTATAAAGTGGGGACACAGAGACCTACCTCCCGGGATCCTTGCAAGGCTGAACTGAATGGGACACCAGAGCACTCAGCACAGTGTCAGTGCTCCCCAGATGTTAGTTATCTGTATTCTTAGCTGCTGGTCCTCGTCAGGACGATGCCACGGGGTCAATGGTAAGAGAGAAAAAGTGCAGCTCTGCAGGAGTGAATGCCGTGTTCGATTTCAGAGAGCAGGAGGCGTAAGAGGGGGCGCTGATTTCACGGGGGCCCCAGTCTCTGCCTCTGGTCACAGTTTTCTTCCAGGCTGGCCCACCCCCACTGGCCATGCTCATCCCCCTGCACACACACCCCTGTCCTGTCACAGAACCTCACCTGCCCCCTCGGGGGTCATTTGTGCTGCAGGCGACACGGGCGGCGCTGGCCGCGGAGGAGCCCCGGGTGGACTGGCTGCAGGCGCAGCTGAAGGAGCTCATCGCCTTCCCGCAGGACCTGCAGCCGCTCTCGGACGGCGTCGTCGCAGCCATCCAGGAGTACCAGAGGTATCTGGACAGGCTGAGGGTGGGTGGACTCACCGTGCCTGAACCCCAGGCTCAAGGGGCCCCCTTACCCCACCCAATGCATCTCCCAGAGAGGGGCTTGCTGTCTCTTGCAGCCTGCTCTTTTTTTTTTTAACTTTTTATTGAGATTATGATAGTTTACAACCTTGTGAAATTTCAGTTGTACATTATTGTCAGTCGTGTTGTAGGTGCACCACTTCACCCTTTGTGCCCTCCCCCCACACCCGTCTCCCCTGCTAACCACCAATCAGTTCTCTTTGTCTATATGTTTAACTTCCACCTATGAGTGGAGTCATACAGAATTCGTCTTTCTGTGTCTGGCTTATTTCACTTAACATAATACCTTCAAGGTCCGTCCATGTTGTTGTGAATGGGACGATTTTATCCTTTTTTATGGCTGAGTAGTATTCCATTGTGTGTGTGTGTGTGTGTATATATATATATATATATATATATATATATACCATGTCTTCTTCATTCAATCATCAGTTGATGGGCACTTAGGTTGCTTCCATGTCTTGGCTATTGTAAATAATGCTGCAATGAACACAGGGGTGCATGGGACTTTTGGAATTGCTGATTTCAATTTCTTTGGATAGATACCCAGTAGTGGGATGGCTGGGTCATAAGGTATTTCTATTTTTAATTTTTTGAGAAATCTCCATACTGTTTTCCATAGTGGCTGCACCAGTTTGCATTCCCACCAATAGTGTATGAGGGTTCCTTTTTCTCCACAACCTCTCCAACATTTGTCACTTTTTGTTTTGGATATTTTTGCCATTCTAACAGGTGTAAGGTGATATCTTAGTGTAGTTTTGATTTGCATTTCCCTGATGATTAGTGATGATGAGCATCTTTTCATGTGTCTATTGGCCATCCATATATCTTCTTTGGAGAAATGTCTGTTCATGTCCCCTGCCCATTTTTTGATCGGGTTGTTGTTGAGCTGTGTGAGTTCTTTATATATTATGGAGATTAACCCTTTGTCGGATATATAACTTATAAATATTTTTTCCCAACTATAGGTTGTTTTTTTGTTTCAATCCTGTTTTCCCTTGCCTTGAAGAAGCTCTTTAGTCTGATGAAGTCCCATTGCAGCCTGCTAACTCTTAAATAATTCTTGCACCTCCCAGCGACTGGCTGTCACAGGATGTCACTCTGCTCAGCGCTATCTCCTTTGACCGTGTTTTGCATTTTGCTGCCAGAAGGAGACCTGAACCTTGCTTTTTTCCATGCTAAGTGGCTCATTCACCCATTTCCATCAAGTCTCTTTATGCAGCTTAGCACAGGGCACAGGTCCACCATGTGATGGCCCAAGGGGAGAGCTTTTCTAGACAAACCCCATTCCCCTGCCTTCTGACGGTGATGGCATAAGCATCTGAGCCTGTCCCGGACCAGCTTCTACCTCCCCTTCAGCCCATGGGCTCAGGCGAGGCAGGATATCCGGTTTCCTAGCTCAGCAAAGACCGCGGATCAAATATCCACCCTGCGTGGAACTGAGCACAGTGTCAATTTGAAATCTGTAGCTATTTTTGCTGCGGGAGCCTCAGAGGTGTTCTCAACACAGCACAGCTATCCACGTATCTGTAGAACCTCCCACTCCTCTGCCTGATGGAGGGGTTCCTCCAGAATGAGCTCAGGGAGCTCCCCCCAGCTGTGTGTCTCTCACCCCACAGTGTGCTCAGGCCCCACATCTGCAGGACCAGAGCGGGGGCCTGGATCCCCCGTGGGATGCTAAGTGGCGGCAGGGGCCTGAATTTCCTGTGCACAGAGCAGACGGTGAGACAGGGTGGCGAGCATCTCCCGTTCCCTCCAGTTGCTCTTGCTGAGGTTTCATGTGCTGCTATTTATGATTTATGACTGGGTGCTGGATATTGCATTTGAAAAATTATTTGGGCCTGGGGTGATGGTCTCCTACTCAAAAGAGGATTTCGTTTGCTTCTGGTAGGTGCCTGGGGCAGGCTGCATCAGCCCAGGGTCTCTGTAATTCCTCTGCAAGGCTTGAGGTCGCTGGCCATGGAGCTGGCCTACAAGTCTGTCTGAGGACTGGCTTACTCCCAGTGCACTTTTTTCCAGGGGACATAGACCTTTGGGATCCCACATTCCCAGCAGTGCAAGCCTGGCTCCCTGGGGGTTCAGGCAGAGGCCCCATTCCAAACTGACCCCACTCTCTCCTCCCTTGGTTTCCTCCTTCCATGGCCCCTGCAGCATGAAGGGAAAGAGCACCAGGCTGCGGAATGCCACGGGGACGGAGCTGTGGCAGCGTTTCCAGCGGCCTCTGCAGGACCTGCAGCTGTGGAAAGCCCTGGCCCAAAGGCTCCTGGATGTTACCACCAGCCTGCCAGACCTGCCCTCCATTCATACCTTCCTGCCCCAGATTGAGGTAACCGGGGTCCTGCCAGGAGGGTGCTGCTGGGGGAGGCCACCAGCCAGCCTGGCGTATCAGCCCCTCTCACAGGGAAAGGCGTGTTCCTGGGTCCTCCAGATGTGTAGGTAGAGTTCACGGCACCATCTAGCACAGGAGTCCTGTGTGCACAGCAAGTGTCAACACTTGTTATCAGTGACAAAGGTCATCCTCAGTTCTTGGGTCGAAGGTGAAGCCTGATGCCTGTGTGACCCCAGGACTCTGCACCAACCCTCGCACGCCCCTTCTCTTTGGGACCCCATTGCAGGCAGTCCTCTGGTGGAAGCACGAGCAGTTCTGAGATAGAGAAGCTGGTCAGGTCATTACCTTTACTGTGTATCAGTTAGGATGCATGTCACAAGTGACAGAGAACCTGACCAATGGTGGCTTAAGACACAGAGACCTTCAGGTCGTCCCAGGGCTGGCTTGACATCTCAACAGTGTCATCCAGGACTCAAGTTCTTTCCAGCTCTAAGCCATGCCCCCCTTCATGGCCCCAAGATGGCTGCCACCACTGCAAGCATGCGTCCTCAGTGAACAGCAAAGTCTTGTGTAGGAAGGAATGGCATGGGGACAAAAGGGCACTCTCCATCTGCCATTTCCAACAGAGAGGCAAGTTCTTCCCAGAGGCCTCAGCTGACTCCCCTTACATCTCATTGGCTAGACCAGGTCACATGACCATCCTCGGACCAATCACTAGCTGGAGATGATGGGATCTCTGTGAGTGCCTTATACCAATTATAGTCATAACCCTGGAACTGGGCACTTTGCCACCCACACAAAATCTTGGTTGCTTGTTGAGGAAGAAGGAGGAATGGCTGTCGGGTGAGCAGCCAACAGTGTCTGTCACAAATACCTGTCAACACAGTAGCTCCCATTTGCCTGTCAACAATGCCTTATGGTATCCTGGCGCTCTGAGGCCCGTGAAACGCTTTCGGGTCTAGAGATCTTGGACACAAAGAGTGGGAGGAGACACAGGAGAGTATCAGGTGTGAGCCCATTTTATATTAATTTTCCTTCTGCTTATAAAAGTCATGCCTACGTGGAGAAGGTAAAGATTTGTGAGGAAGAGAATAAAAAGCACCCACAGTCCCATGAGCCACGGGACCGCCGTTACCATGGGGCACTTTCTCCATCTCGTTTTCGGTCCAACTTGGTATTATGGGGAGAATCATTAACCAGACTTGGCCCCTACTCACCCCTGACTGAGCACACTACCCGGCCATGGACCAGGGCCTGCGTTTTGGAGTGTCTGCTCTCTTGATTGTCCACTTGGGGCTCACGTTAGAATGAGAGCTTGTTTGCTGTCATCATAGTCAAGCCGTAGAGCACGGCCTTTCTTTTTTTTTTTTTTTTTAAGATTTTATTTTTTCCTTTTTCTCCCCAAAGCCCCCCAGTACATAGTTGTGTATTCTTCGTTGTGGGTTCTTCTAGTTGTGGCATGTGGGACACTGCCTCAGCGTGGTCTGATGAGCAGTGCCATGTCCACGCCCAGGATTCGAACTAACGAAACACTGGGCCGCCTGCAGCGGAGCGCGCGAACTTAACCACTCGGCCACGGGGCCAGCCCCACGGCCTTTCTTTTTTATTTATTTATTTTTTGAGGAAGATCAGCCCTGAGCATCTGCTGCCAATCCTCCTCTTTTTGCTGAGGAAGACTGGCCCTGAGCTAACATCCATGTCCATCTTCCTCTACTTTATATGTGGGACGCCTGCCACAGCATGGCTTGCCAAGCGGTGCCATGTCCGCACCCACGATCCGAACCAGTGAACCGTGGGGCGCCAAAGCGAAACATGCAAACTTAACTGCTGTGCCACTGGGCTGGCCCTGTGTCATAAACCTCAATTTTAGGTCAGACAATCCTGAATATACCCTTTATCCATCTAGCCATTTCCGTGAGATATGATCACCAATAGGCAGAAGCTTTAATTAATTTATTACAATTTTTCTGTACTTGGGGGTCATGTTATGTAGTCATAAATTCTGGTATTTTCATTTGACACAAATGAGCTTTTTCTCAGCTTCATTTACGATGGTTCAAAGCAGTCATCACTTTAAATGGCTGCATAATATTCCATTCAGGGGGATGCTGTTGTTTATTTAGCGTATCTGAAATTAGATATTTGGGTTTCCAGTTTTCATCGTCATAATTAACATATGCTGAATATCTACCTACATAGATCTTTGTCTCCATTTCTACCATTCTCCTCATTTTGCTGATGAGGGACCAGGGGGAAGTTGGGGTGCTTGTTCAAGGTCACTCTGCTCCAGAGAGGCAAAGCTGGGGCCAGTGCGGTGGGTCCTAGACTCTCGTCTACTGTCCTCAGCCCTGTTTTCATGTTGGCTCGGGAAGCAGCTTTGTGAGGCTGGCAGAACAACTTTATTATTGTCATTTGACTTCTGAGGAAGCCAAGTCTCAGAGAGGGGAAGGCACTTGCTCAAGGTCACACAGCATTAAGTGGCAGGGCTGGCTTTGACCCAGACCTGTCTGACTTCACAGCAAGTGCTCCCCCTAACAGTTTGCAATTACATTTCCTCCTTATCCTTCCCACTCGGATAGAAAGCAAACTGGGACCCCCTTGAGGCAGGAAGGAGAGGTGCTGTCTTTCTAGATTGGGACCGAGGACTCGGCGCAGAATTTCATGGAGCCGTGGGTTGGAACAAGTCGGGCCAGGCCTGTGGTTTGTTCCTATTTGTCTGCTGTTTGCTGGTGGGGAGCAGGGCTTGCTTCTCTCTCACGGCCTGCCCGGGTGGGATGGACTCTACGGGCCAGGGCTCAAGCTGCCAGCCTTCTTTCCTTGACTCAGCTCCAGCATCGAGCCCCAGAGTGACTATGGATCCACGAAGTTCCTCTGGAACGGAAGCCTCGAGCCCCCGAGCAGGGCATGGCTGAGGTCGTAGTTTCTTAGGGCGACGGTCACAGAGTATCCAAAGCTGGGGGGTGTAAAGCAACAGGAATTCCTCCTCTCACGGTTCTGGAGGCTGGAAGTCCAAAATCAAGGGCCAGGAGGGCCTTGCTCTCTCCGCCGGCTCTGGGGGGAATCTCCCTGGCCTCTTCCCGCGTCTGCTGTTGGCTGGCAGTCATGGGGGTTCCATGGCTTGTGGCTCCATCACTCCACTCTCTGCTCTGCCGTCACGTGGACATCTTCTCCCCATGTGTCTTCACATTGTCTACCATCTGTCCGTGTGTGTCTGGGTCCGAGTTTCCCCATTTAGTAAGGGCACCAGTCATTGGATTAGGGCCCACCCTCAAGACCTCATTCTGTCTCTGTCACCTCTGGAAAGACCCTGTCTCCAAATAAGGTCGGAGGTTAAGACTTCATTATATCTTTTCCTGGGGCACAATTCAACCACAACAGCGGGTTAGGTGATCACAGCTGAGAAGAGCTGTTTCGCTCTGCCTTCACTGCGTCATGCACCATGTTAAATGCTCTGTAGGCATTATCTCGTTTAGGCCTCAGGACAAGCCCGTGAGCTGGGGCGTGACTACCCCTATATTGCAGAGGAGGAAACTGAGGCCCAGAATGCTGTGATGCACTGCCCAAGGCCTCCCAGCTAGTGTGTAGCCTCCCAAACTCATGATCGCGACTCCCCAGCCTGAATTCTTAACCTCCGTGATATCGTGTCTGGGCTTGGTGAATGGTGGGGGAAGGTGACCCCTACAGAGCGAGCCTTGACCTCTGTGCGGCTGATCGCAAAGCGCAGGCTCTCATCTGCACGTTACAGTCCAGCTGGGCCGACTGTGTTTATGCTGCCCTTCCTCTAGCACGCCCTCTGCCCTTCCAGGGCTGTTGTCAGTACTGCCTCCTCTGAGCAGCCTTCTCAGATTTCCCCATCGGGGAGTGTCCACCAGGAGGCGACAGCCTCCTCTGAGGAGCCTTCCTGATTTCCCACTGATCATGTTCCATAGGCCCTTAGCCCCCTCCAGATGTCCCAAACACCACCTGGGGCTGTCAGTGATGGGCAATTGTTGAGTAGAGGATCAAACTGATTTGGTTTAGGTTCAGCTACAGTGTGGACCATCGATTCTGGGGGCAGCTGAGGGGCAGTGGGTGGTCGGAAGCTGCGGGGATCTGGGTGAGCAAGGCTGAGGATGCGCCTTGGGCAGTGGCAGTGGGAATGGAGAGGAGGCGGATTTCCGAGACCTGTAGGAGGGAGAATTCTGGCCCAGGCTTTGATAGTGGGAGGGATGTCGGGCGCGAGAGGAATCAGGTTAACCCTGAAATTCAGGACCGCCCTCCCCCCGCCACCTTCCCGCCCGCCTGGCTCTCCTGCTTCCTCAGAGCCTGCACCGAGGTGCAGCCAGCTAAGCAGTTGCAGCAGAACAGTGTGCTCCTGGCGCTGTCCCTGAGCTTGGTCCTGCCCCATTGTGCTCTGGGTTAAAGGAGGCTTGTCTCCCACAGGCGGCCCTGGCCGAAAGCTCCCGCCTGAAGGAGCCGCTGACCATGCTGCAGCTGCGGAAGGACCTGCTGAGCAGCGTCTTTGGCCAGGAGAGAGCCACGGCCCTGCTGGAGCAGGTGGCGAGTTCCGTGAGGGACAGAGACCTGCTGCTCAACAGCCTTCTGCAGAGGAAAAGCAAACTGCAGGTGAGCATCTCCGGCTGTCTGCTCGGCGCTCGAGCCCGGCACTGGCGCTGGGGGCCACTCTTCCCGGGAGGCGGGCGGCCCTGCGTTCTAACCTCAGCTCCAGCCCTTGCCGCTGTGTGGCCCTGGGCACGTCCCTTTGTCGCCCACAATCTCAGGCTCCTTGTCTATAAACTGGGTAAGATTATTGTGTGATCCGTCCAGTTGGTCTCCTAGTCACCTGTCTGCCCCTGGCCCCTGCCCCCGGATCCCCTGTCTACACTGCCATCAACCTGAACTGCTCTCTGCAGAGAGCCGGGGAGCGTCAGATGAGAAAACACAGAGAAAACGCTTGTAGGCTTTAAACCACAGAGAGCTGGGAGCTCTTACTACTAGGGACCCATTTCGAAATGACTCCACTAAACCAAAGACGTGACATGGCTCCTTGTGGACAGTTTATGCTTTGGCATAACAAGCATTTGCTGAGCGTCTAATGATGTAACGGCTGTGATCTCTGGGGCACTGACGAGGGGCCCAGAACTGGCCGAGAGCTTTACATCCGTGATCTCATCTAGTCCAAGTAGCAAACTTTTAGCAAACATTTTAGGGTTTGCAGGCCCCATGGTCTCCGCTGCAGCCACTCAGCTCTGCCACGGTCGCATGAAAGCAGCGGTAAATGAACAGGCGTGGCTGTGTTCCAATAAAACTTTATTTACAAAAACAAGCCTCTGGTGGGATTTGGGGGGTGTGGTATGAGATGTAGTTTTCCAGCCCTTGTTCTAGAAGGCGGAGCAACTGTGATGCGGGGACGTTATGGTGACTCTAAGGAGGGATGTCCAACCCCATCAAGGGCTCTGGGAAGGCTTCCTGGAGGAGGCGACGCCAACTCCTGAGTGCGTATGAGTGGGCCAGGAGAAGGCTGGAGAAGGAGCAGCTGGTTGTGAGTGTCAGGTCGTACAACAGGGTGCCTGGGAGGAAATTTCTTAATGTGTGTGCTGCCTGTTGGTGTCTCTCCAGAGCTTGCTCGCTCAGCACAAAGATTTTGGGGCTGCTTTTGAGCCCCTGCAGAGGAAGCTCTCAGACCTACAAGTCAGAGTCCGAGCCGAGAATGGGCTCCAGCGGGACCTTCCTGGGAAGCAGGCCCAGCTTTCGAGGTTGCAGGTAAGGGGTCTGTGGGGCCCGAGTCACCTCCACTCAGGTGCTCAGCTGCCCTCCTGTGGCAGGAACCTGCAGGGCAGCGGCGGCCGAGCCAGGACTTCGACTGTACTTGAGATCTCACTTATCATCTCAGTAGAACCTCTGCTGATTTATCTGATGATTCCCCGGCCTCAGCAGGGCCTTTAGCCTTCAGCCCCTCCAAACTGCTGATTCAGAGCCTAACAGAATGACAAGCTGCCCTTTTGTTTACTTCAAGGTTCCAAAGTCTAACATTGATATTTGTTTTTAAAGTTACTTGACTAAGTGTCCCTAATGAGTCTAGGAGCCTTCCGTTAAATACACTGATTTAAGGCTTAAGAGAAATGCTTTAAAACACATGTAGACCGTAAATAGGCTGATCATTGATCATTGGTTGGCTGGACCAGGAGCTTGCTGGTTTTTAACATCATGTGATACAACAATTATCTTTTTAAAACCCGAGCACAGCTCATACATGAATAGAGAGTGTTGTTTGGAAAACATTAAAAATAGTGTATTGGGGGCTTTAAAACTAAACTTGGGATGTGATTCTTTATAACGAGAGGTGTTCATCAAGTAGGAGTCCGGACAACGGTTTGTCCCCAGAGATGCCCTCTGATCTCAGCAGTTTGCTTTCATGGTGTCTCAGAATATTTGCATCTCGTTTTTAAAATTCTCACCAGCCCTGGGAGGAGGCCCATTAGGTGGCCGTATGGTACAACTGCTGGTGTGGAGGAGCCCCTCCACCCCAGGACCCTCCCATCGCTCCCACTCAGAGCCCCCCGCCCTGATCAGCATCCATGATGAGAGGAAGCCTAGACACCCCCCCATCATTCCTTCTTCCACTGCAGGGGCTGCAGGAGGACGGGCTGGACCTGGGGGTGCAGGTGGAGGCCGTGAGGCCTCTCATCCAGGGGAACTCCAACCACCAGCACAAAATGGACCAGCTCTCTGCCGACTACCAGGCCCTGCAGAGGTTTCTGGAGGTAAGGGGCCACCGGAGGGCCTGTGCTGTGACAGAGACCTCTGGAGTCCAGCACTCCTGGGGACCTCTCCCTCTTCTCTCCCTTCATTCCTTCCACCTTTCTTTTTCTTTCTCCTTTCCTTCCTTCCCCTCCTCATTCATTCAGCAGATGGCTATTGAGTGCCTTCTGTATGCCCATCAGTGTTCTGAGCCCTAAGGATGGAGGCAGCATGAGAGGACAGCCAAGACCACTTTCTAGTGAGGAGATGGATGAGTCAGCAAGCCAGCACGTAATAGACAATTCCACATGTGCCAGGAGCCAGGGACACAACAGGCTGCTCCGTCCCATCAGCAGCCGGGCAGGCAGAGGGCCCTCGCTTTTGCTGACTTATCACCAGGTTGAAACGCGCGTCCCGGCGGCTGGCCGGGAGCCTCATCGGCAGTGCCCTCTGGTGGCCACCTGGATCTTTCTCATGTCCCACGAGATGGAGTCCCCTTTGAGCAGTGGGAATGAACTGAGGCTCCTTCAAAACTGGCCTGAGGACAAGTGGAAATGCAGCTTCCAGGCCCCACCCTGACACTGATTCGGATGGAGTCCTGAGTCTACTTGGCACATATGCCCTGGGAATGCAAAGGGGCCCTCAGGCAGCCACCTGGCAAGCACACTCAGTCTGGGGCAGGGGTCTCCACCCTACTGGACGCTGCATGCCCTATTTCAATAACACTCCTATCCTCCTCTTTGCAGTTCATAGGTCATGTAAGTTACCCACACCATTTAAAAATCTAATACAACACCTTTTCTACAATAGAAAAGAGAAATAAGAGGAAAGTAATTATTGTCAGATAATGTCTTTGAATATGTGAGTGCTCCAAGATGGCCACACTGAAGACACGAGGAGGCAATCAGAACGTACCCCCTTAACGTGACAGCCATGGGTGCCAAGTCACGTGGCATAGCCGGCTTCACCTCTAGTGATGAAACTTTCTGAAGTGTGAACAGGCCTTGGTAAAGTTTCAGTCAAACCAAAGCGCAGTCTTCCATCGGTTTACAAAATAGATGCGTTCCTGGAAAAGTCAGCCTGTTTATTAAAACTCCAGAACCTCTTGTGTTCGTACATTAACTGCAGTAAGAGTCTAAACTCGGGTCCCAATAAAGAGGTCATGAGAAAACCTGTGGGACGTGGGGTGGTTCTGCATTGTGGACTGTCCTCCCCAGAGGGAGATGAGGGCACCCATCGCTCTCACTGTGTCTGCTGGCGTCACCCCCACCCTGTCATTATCACAGCCACCAAAACCCGCCGTGAGTTTCCAGAAAACCTGGCTCCACCTATAGAGACCCATCGGTCTGAGTGAGGCGTAAAGTCTAGATGAATTCATCTCGTTCCATTTAATAAATTAGCAGCTTGCGATCTCCAGGTTGAGGGAGGGGGCGTAGAGAAATATCCTGGCCCTGCTCCTCAGGAGCCCGTAGAAGCAGCGACTGTCGGCTTCAATGCCCACCTCAGACGATGAGCCAGACGGATCGTTACAATAATTAGAAGAAGTAACAACGGAGCATCATTGGGGGCTGCAAAATGGCGATATTCCAGTTCTATCTTACTTCTTTATTTATGGTTTAAATGCTTCTTTAAAGACGTATAGCTGCTATTTTATTTTGTACTCAAGGCTTTTTCAGTCTAATAAGTTCTAATAAGTCTCCCCGCCCCCAGCCCCGGTGATCTTCCTGTTCCCCTGGGGGGCACATACCCCACCAAGCAACCAGGGCCACTGAAGCCATTGGGTCTGATGTTGATGCCCAGGGGACAGGCGGGGACGGTGGTAGTGAGAGCACAGAGAGGTGGAGTTTTAGAGAATTTTCCAGGCCCTCGTCAAATGGTTGTGGGGGACAGATGCACCGCGCCGTCTCTGTGTCCCCAGCTCCTCAGGGGCCTGGCATCGCGTGGTGTCAGCCAGTGTCTGTGCAATGCAGGAAGGCAGGGCCTGTGGTGGCCCAGCAGAGAGTCATGAGGCCCTCAGCCGAGGATCACAGCAAGAGAGGGGGCGACAGGCCCTGGGGCCTGACTGGCCCGTGGTGGGCTGAGGGGAGGGGCTCGGAGGGTCCCAGGCTGGGCGACCAGGAGGACGGAGACTGGCTGCTCTGCTGGATACAGAGCCCCCCTTTCATGGAGACAGAGGAAAACAAGACCCCAGCCTCGGAGCTGAGCAATGACTGACCCAGGGGACGGGACAAGAAGCAAGACTGCTTTTAAAAACTTTGTATTAAAGTATATTCATACACATCAAAGTGGACGTGTAAGAGTACAGCTTGGTAAATTTTTGGTAACTGGCTACATCCATGTTACCAGCACCCAGAGCATGAAACAGAATGATACCAGCCCCTCAGGCCCCTGCAGTCACTGCCCACCACCCCCCATATCTGCGGGTGACCCTGACCTTGAGCTTAGAACAACACGGGTTGGGTTTGCCTGATTTTATGCATTATTTAAATGGAATCAGACAGAGCGTATTCCTTGTGTAGGTTTCCAGCTGTGCGCGTGACAGTTATAAATTCATCTAACGGTGCATTAGATTGCTGTGTGCATTGTTCATTCTTGCTGCTGTAAAATATTCCATTGTATGAACCCACCTCACCGTGTTCCTCCATCCTCCTGTCGGTGGTCACTGGGTAGTTTCCAGCTTGGGGCTATTTCAGGCAACACCACACGCATGTCTTTTGTGAAGACATGTTTGCATCTGTTGGGTACCCACCCAGGGGTGAGAAGGTTGGGTTGTAGGCATGCTTGAGTCCAGTTTTCGTAGATACCGACCCATGGTTTTCTCAAGTGGTTGTGCCGGTTTACACCCACTCTGGTGGTGGACGAGAGCTCCGACTGCCCACAGCCTCCTCCAGACCTGGTACTTTGCATAAACGTAAAGCGGAGTTGATCGTTCCGGGGTAAATTCCTTGCACTGTGGAGCAGGAAGGACCAGCCTCTCATGTTCCTACTGCTTGGGATCTCTGGTTGGGGAGCCCCGGGCCCCAGGCAGATGTGGGGGTCCTGCGGGGTGGGATGGCCCAGGGTCTCAGCCTCGGCCAGCGCTCAGGGTGCCCTGACCCCCCTGGGGCTGTGCTGCAGGACCTTGTGGACGGGTGCCAGCAGAGCGTGCGGGAGCATTGCACCTTCAGCCACAAGCTGCTGGAGCTGCGGCAGTGGATAGCAGTGGTCACTCAGAAGCTGGAGTCACACCTGGGGGACACAGGCCTGTGGGATGCTCAGGCCCAAGAGGCCGAAGTCGAGGTAAGATGGCTTTCCTCACAGAGATGCTGATTCCCTCCCCTGCACCCCCAAAAGCAGGCTTGCGAGGCCAAAGTGCCCCACTGCAGAGCAGAGACCCCCTGCCCAGGACCTCACTGTGCATGTGCGTGTGTGTCCTTCAGAGGCTGCTGGCTGAATTCCCAGAGAAGGAGGCCCAGCTGCCCCTGATCAAAGCGCACGGCTGGCTGGTGATGGAGAAGTCTTCTCTGGAAGGGGCCGCTGTGGTCCAGGAGGAGCTGGAGGAGCTGGAGGAGGCGTGGCGGGCCCTGAGGCTGCTGGAGGAGAGCCTGCTGAGGTGAGGGGTCTCCCGGCTCTGGGCCTGGTCTCGGACAATGCCCCCTTCCCATCCAGGGGAGAGCTCGGTGGTGCTCCTAGAAGAGAAGGCTGGGGTTCTGCCATGTGCCAGACATGACTCCAGGTGCCTCTGGGCATCTCCAGTCTGGCCCAATTGGCAATCCCAGCAGGGCAGGAAGAGCAGGCAGATGTCCCATCTTGGGCGTTGGCCTCCAGCCTATTCTGGCTTGGGCCTCGGCCGCATCAGTGAGTACATGCACCTCAATGATGGTAAGGTGAGTCTCAGCTGGGACACTGGAAATGCGTGTGCCTTGGGAACGTTCTGACAAATCTGAGGACAGGCACTGACTTGTGAAGACCAGAAGCTTCCTCCCACCCGACGATGCCCCACCTCTGTTACTTCTCCCATGACATGGTGAATCCTCATCTTATCACCGCATTGACTGGGCAAAGTTTGTCTTCTCAGCCTCATCAGAAACCGGCAGCTACAGAGGACGGAAGTGGATTTGGGGAAGAAAACGATTTTCACCAACAACATCCCGAAGCCTGGGTTTCTCATCACCCCCACGGATCCTATTGCCAGGTATCGCCGCCAGGTGAGTCTGTCTAGAGGGGCTTCTGGGGAGGGACCAGGTCCTGAGTCAACTGATGGGGGTCTCCAGGAAAGCCCCCTCCCTGGCCCGGGCCACCTGCTCGGCTCAGGACTTGGCCACATCCCCGTCTCGGTTGAGCCTGTCTGAGTCTGATGAGGCCCAAGGAACCCTCGTGCCGCTGGATAGAGGGACTCAGAGACCCCAGACCCAGGCCCCCCAGGGAAGGTCATGGGCATCCCTTGGGCACACATGCCCCCACCCTCAGAAACACCGGCAGCTGTCCCCGCCCGGAGGAGAGTGTCAGGCTTGGAAGCTTCCTGCGGGCCCCAGATTGGACGCTGAAATCACACAAGATTTGTGTGCCATAAGTTGTATTTTGTTAAAAGAACTTATCTAACTGCATGTTATGATCTGTCCCGTCTCCTGACTGCCTTTAAAACACAGAAACCACACTGAAAAAAATTCATTCCTTGTCCTTCGAGGAGAACAGATCAATTCGTTCATTCTCCCATTCATTCCTTTATTTTTCCATCCAAAAAGCACGGATTGAGGTTCCTATGTTCTGAGGACTGTGCGTGGAGCTGGGCACAGCTGTGAGTAAGACAGAAACACTTCTGAGCCTCCAAGAACGCAGAATCCAGCACAGAGCTTTCCAGATTGTGATGTGCCTTCGGATCGTATTAAAATGCGGATTCTGGGGTGGGGCCTGTGATCCTGCATTTCTGCAGGCTCCTGGGCCACGCCTATGCCTGAGAGCACATTTTGAGGATCAAGGAAGTGGGGACCACAGGCCGTTAAATAAGGGTTTGCAAAAAGCCGAGGGGCCGGGTGATATGGGAGCCTGCAGGAGAGTGATCGCAACCTAGCTGTGGGGTAGCGAAGCCCCTCCAGGAGAAACGGAATGCCCCGGGAATCCCCATGGCTGATTTGGGGTGAGGAGGGGAGCAGAGGGAGATGTTCCATGCAGACGAGACAATGTGTGCAGAGACCCGGAGCGCAAGGAACCAAGACGTGTCCGTGGACTGGGGCTCAGAGAAGGGGGACGGCGGCACAAGCCACAGGGTCCACAGAGCCAGACTCTAAGGCTCTCAGGCCACAGCGAGGAGTGTGAGAAGCCACTGAGGTGTGTAAGCGAGGGCTCAGCTGAATGGACTTAAATTTTAGACAGATCATTCTGGCCACAGAGCCTGGAAGGGGACAAGAGTGGCAGAAGGGTGACCACTATTATAGCCAACCTGGTAAGGGACAATGGTGGCTGCCACAAGGAGACCAGGGAGGTGACAGTGAGGAATGTCCTTGGCCCCTGAACATGGCCACATTGAGTGGGGATGCATTGTTCATCCCCCCAGGTCCCTCTCATCACCCTTTGGGCATCCTCATCCCCACTCCTCTGCCTCAGATGGAATCCCCGGGACGCGTGGCCAGCGGCTTGTTTTCACCTCTGATGCTCAGGTCATGCTGTGCTTTCCTGCAGGCAGGTCTGCTCCAGGAAGAAGGGGGCAGCCAGGAAGATTTCTCCCAGCTCCTGAGGAACTTTGAGCAGTGGTTGCAGCTGGAAAATTCCAAGCTGGTTAGAATCATCGCCATGAGAACTGCCACAGCCAAGGACTTGAGGACCAGAGAGACGAAGCTGCAGGTTTGTCCCCAAGGAAAGGCCCCTTGCCCTTAGGGTTTGCGCTGTAGATGTGATTGCCACCAGGGGAGTTTTTCCAAAAAAAAAAAAAGGAGCACATGCATAGCTCATGAGCTGTTCTTGCTTGTGTATAAATAATGGCTTTTAAAATTTTTTGGTTAAATATTGTAGAAGAACTGTGGAAGAGTCATTCATTCATTCATGAATTCAGCCTACTTGTGTATTCCCCAACTTGGAAAATATCACCATGAATCATGACTCCTTTATCAGTCAGCTGTTGCTGGGTAACAAAGCACCTCAACAATTTGTGGCTTCAAAGAGCAGCTCTTTCTTTAACTCCTGATTCTGAAGGTTGGCACGTTAGGCTGAGTTCGGCTGGGCAGTCCTCTGGTCTTGGCTGGGCTCCCTTATTTGCTGTCAGCTGTCGATCAGCTGGATGGTCTACTTCTGGGGGTTGGTGGGCTGTTGGAGACGAGCATGAGATGGACCACGCATCTCCTGTCCTCCTGTGGGACAGCCCAGGCTTCTCGTAGCAGAGGCAGGGTCTAAGAGAGCAAGAGGGAGCATGCAAGGTGTTTTGAAGCCTAGACTAGGAACTGGGACAATGTTACGTCCCCTGTGTTCCATTGGACAAAGAAAGTCACAAGGCCAGCCTGGGTTCAAGGGGAGGGAAAATAGATTCCACCTCTTGATGGGAAGAACTCTGAAGTCATATTGCAAAGGAGGTGGATGTGACAGGGAGGAGGGGGGCCAAGGGGATCACAGCCATTTCTGCAATCCATCTACCACAAATCTTTCTCTTTTGCTCCCACATCTAATTAGTCACCAAGCCCTCTTGACTCCACCTCCTGGAAATTTTTTGTTTCTGTCCCCTCACTACCGCTATCTTAGTCTAGGCGCTTACCATTCTTGACCCTGGTTATGGCAAGCTGGCCTCCCTTCTTCCTCTTGGGCCCCCATCCAGGTCATGGCTCATTCTGCAGCTAGAGTAACCTTTCAAAATTGCAAGTCTGACCTTGTCCTTCCCCTAATGAAAAGCTTTCAGTCTCGCATTCGACCCCCCAAGTTTATCACACAAGGCCTGTCTCCACATGGCTCCAGCCTACCTCTCTTTTTCCTTATTTTTCTGCAGTTTCATTATGTTATGGTAGGGTTTGGATTTTTTTTAATTTTTCTTTCTTGGGATTCATCTGGATTCTTGAATCGGTGGTCCAGGGTCTTTCTGGAAAATTCTCCAACATTACCTCTCAAAATACTTCCTTTGCCTTTTTCTCTTTCTCCTCGCCTTCTGTGATGTCATTTAAACGTATGTTATTCCCTCTCACTGTGTGCTTTATATCTCTTACTCTCTCGTGTGTATTTTTCATCCTTCTGTCTTTTCATATCCTTTTCCGGATAGTTTTTTCTAACCCATCTTCCACTTTACTAATTCTCTCTTTAGCTGTGCCCCACTTGTTGTTATCCATGTCTATTATCTTCTCAACTTCTTACATGGTACTTATCAGTTCTAGAATTTCTACCTGGTTCTTTAGAGATCTGTCGCTTTTCATAGCTTCGAGATCTGCACTGAAATTTTTAAGCTTATCTTTTAATTCTTCAAACACAGTAAATATAGCTGTTTTACAGAGTGTGTCTAGTGATTTCAATATCTCAAGCCGTTTCAGGAATGTTTCTGCGCATTCTTGGTTTCTTATATGTGTGTGGCTGCTTTAATTATGTGCTGGACATTGTGTTTGACAAAATAGGTGTAAGAGTGATTTGAGATTTAGGATCATCTCTTCTCCGGAGAGGACTTTGTTTGTGACTGCCAGGCAGTGGGGGCTTTAACATTCTGAAAACACTGAATCCAAGGTCAAAGCTAGAGGCTCCCTGGGTCGCTGAGATGACGTAAGCTGGGCTGCAAATCCACACACTACCCGAGATTACTTCTGAATCACCGTTTGGAGTCTCAGCTCAATGGGGAGTGGTTTATCAGAGTCTGCACCTCTGCAGGGCCGAGGCTGACCTTTGCCTCCCTGGGCCTGTGAGGCTGCCGAGAGCATAGATCTGTCTCACAACTATTTCTTCCGGATTGGCAGATGTCCTACGGGCACAAGCAGCCCGAACACTGGGCTTGCTTCTCTGGATTCTCAGCCCCAATGTGCCTCTCTCTCTCGCTAACTCTGCATGCTGTCTAAATGTTTTAATATTTTGTTCTCCGTGAGAGGTTTCGTCCAAGGACCTCACTGACCGTGACCAGGAAGTCCTTCCTGCCCACCTCCTACCTCATATTCGGCCACTCCTCTCGTTTCCTGCCACCACCACCCAACTCCGGCCTTATTAGAGACAACTTGCAGGTCCCCAGGTTAAGCCTCAGTGCTCTTATAGAGCTCACATTCCAGGGGCTCTGAGAAGCTAAGCAGTGTGCCCCGTATCACACAGCTCGTAGGATGGGGCAGAGCCAGGATCCAAAGGCAGAATTTAAACCCAGGCTCTTGGATTTGGAGCCCTGTTCATGCCCCCACATCACACTAGCGCTCAGGAGTCCTGAGGATAAAGGTGCCATCCTGCGGCGAGACAATACTATGTTTTGGTAGACAAATTGGCCCAATCTCGACATCAGTCTGCCCGGCTTCGACAGGCCGGCACAAAGACATGTTTAACAATGGCGGCTTCTATCGTGATGATAACTCTTGTGTCAAGCGCTCTGGGGTCTTAGCTCTAGGATGTCAGGTTGGAGTCCATTCTGTAACATTCCGGAGAGCAGGTGCCTGGCCTTGGCTGGAATTTGCACGGGTGGGATTCTCACTTCGTGTGTTCTGTCGGCCACCTCTCAAGTACAATTTGGTTGGCTCCTCCTCACTAGCCAGGTGGGGCCATCTGGGCCATTTGGAAGGTGTATATGACACTGCCTTTTCCCTCAGGAGCTGGAGGCTCGGGTACCAGAAGGTCAGCATCTCTTTGAGAACCTCCTTCGTCTCGGGCCAGCAAGGGAGACCTCGGAGGAGCTGGAGGACCTGCGCTACCGGTGGATGCTGTACAAGTCCAAACTCAAGGACTCCAGCCACCTGCTGGTAGGTGCTAGGGATGCGCAGGTCCCAGGCCCCGGGGAGACATAGATCGGCCCACATCCACTCAGCTCCAGGCCTCCATGGACCAGGCTGAAGTGACCACTCAGAGAGAGGAGAGAGAGACACACGGGTCCTAGGCACTTGGCTTGCAAGATGTCATTTGGCCATCCTGCCACCCGATGAGGCTGGAGCCCCGGTAATGACAGCTTTGCTACCTACGAAGCTGGGATCTTTATGTGCATTCTCCCACTCGGTCCTCCAGCAGCCATCTGCCAGAGTAATGGGGTCTCCAGTCTCAAGAGGGGCAGCAGAGACTCTGAGGAGTTAAAAGCTTGCCCAAGTTCACACAGCCAGTAAGAGGCAGAGCCAGCATTAAATGCCCCCTGGTGTTGGGTGCATGATAGAGGGAATGCTGGATTGGGGACCGGGAGCCCCAGCATCTTGTACCACTCCTCCACCAACCTGCTTTGTGACTTTGGACAAACACCTTCCCTCTTTAGGCCCCCATGTCTCCTCACACAAAACAATAATAATAGCTAAACTAATAATAATAGCCTTTGTGAAATGCTATGTCATCATAACAACCCCATAAAGGAGGAACTATTATTATTCCCTGAGAATTGATGAGGAAGCTGAGGCACAGAGGTTAGCCCAAGAAGAGGGGTGTTGAGGTGGCCTCGGAGGGCCCCTTCCGGCCCTCAGACCCCAGACGCCAAGCTTTGGCGCTCCAGCTTTGCTGGCCCCGAAACAGCCATATCGGCCACTAGGTGGCAGCCCCGCGCCAGCCAGGTGGCCGCACGCCCCGCCCGCCTGGGCCCAGGCCGGCCCAGACGGAATCCCACCTGGGCTGAAGTGTGTTAAAAAGCTCATTAAATCGAATCACCTGCTGGCTCAGCCTGTCCAGATGACCAGAAGTTTTAGAGAAACACTCCCCTGACAAAATGAATATTCCATTACAGGCCCTGTTGGGACTTCAGTTTCACTCACTTAACTTCTTTTTTTCCCCCCTTTTCCTCTCGTTCCCTAAAAATAACAGACACAGAGTTCTCCAGGGGAGACGACGGGATTCCAGAAGGTACTGTGTCTGCCATTTGCTCCACGCGGCCAGAGGGCCGGGCGTCTGGGGGGTGGCGGGCCTGTGTCGCTGGGGCCGGACGCCTGGGCTTTCTGGAAGCTTCCATGAGGTCTGAGGAACATTTATGGGGAATCAGCTCTGGGCTGTGCTGTGCTGGGCCCCCGGGTCCTCGCTCTCAGGAAGCCCAGGGCCATGCAGAGTGTACTCAGCTGCGAAAGGAGCTTGATCGAGGGGGGCCCTGGAATTTTTCATCCCAAACCAGGACACTATTAATAATGATGCTGTGACAACAGGTGTAAACCAGGCCTGTGCTAAGAAACCCGGACCGTTGCAGGCAAACGGGACCACGTGGCCACCCGAGTGGTAGATGGGCATATGGGGCTCAGTGGGGGACAAAAGAGAAAGGGATGGTTGTGCCTGCATGTTCTACCAGGCAGGTGTTTCTACTTAGGCCCACTAAGAAGTGCTTAGAGACACTTCCATGGTGTTTGCGGGCCAAAGCAATAACAATAACAGCAGTAATAGAAATAATAATAATAATGAGTAATAATTACTGTTCTTCTAGATGCTATTTATTGACTGTCCACTGTGTGCCAGGACCTGTGCCAAGTGGTGGTTAGGGCATTTCACTTAACCCGTCAATACTGGAGAGGCATTATTCCCTCCGTCTTAAACCTGGATAACTGAGAAATGGCAAGGTTGGGATGACTTGTTCGGCAAGGGCATCTGGCTCCTGAGTGGTCTCTGACTTCTCACTCCAAAGCTCGTATCTGAACCTTCCACGCTGTGCCCTGGAGGGAGCATCCCGGGGCCCTAGCAGGTCTGATCACTTCTGGAGAAGCCCAGTATAAATTGATGTCCTCAGTACCACCTTTCCGAGAGAACACACCTGTTTTCCTGCCAAACCTTGGCTCGTAATGACGTGAAGCTCCAGCGTCCTCTGCCCCAAAGAGCACAGGTTCCTGGAGATCTCTCAGGCCGTGGGGTCTGCATTTCTGGGTGCTTCGCACAGCAGGGTCTCTTCTTGGTCTCCAGCTGGCGTTCACAGCTCCCATCTGTGGGAGAGTGGGTGTCCCCGGGACAGGGCGGGGCAGTCACGAGGCCAACGCTGTGCTCTGGGCCCAACGTCAGCCAGCTCTGTGGCCTCGGGCAAGTTGCCATGCCTCTTGGGGGTTCCCTTCCGCGTCCGCAGAATGGAATATCAATGCCAACTTTATTGACTTCATGGACCAACCGTGAAGATCGTGTGATCTGTTGTTTGCAGTTCTGAGAGCCGACAGCGCTGGTTTCCCCCCAAATTTAGAATAATAGAGAGCCTCCCCGGGAAATGAGGAAGAGCATCCGGAAGGGCAGGGTGCCCACACAGTCCGGCCTGGTGGCTCATCATGGGATATGGGGGCTGAGCCGGGTGTCCAGGCTGCCTCTAGCTCCCGCACTTTAAGCCCCTCACTGGTTGGGAGCCCCCATCTCTGCAGCTGCCAGGCCGGAGTCCATGGCTGTCACTTCTGGGTCCCCTGGTACCCAGCACATTGTGAGCGCTCACTAAATGTTTTGAGTAGGGGACACTGGGCTGGCTGACCCCGGCCCTCCAGCGCAGGCTCAGGTTCCTGGCAGGCTGTAATCGGGTTAATGTGGATGTTCGTTACCTGTGTCTCTATGCGGTCTCTCCTCCATTAATTCATTTCACAAATGGTTACTGAGTGCTGACTCTGTGCCAAGCACCGTTTCAGGTCCGTGGAATACGTCAGTGAACACAAGAGCAAAGACCTTCCCCGGTAGACTGCGTCCTGGCTGGGTGGAGAGGGCCACGGGGGAGTCTAGCTCCTGCTGCTCAGTGACAGTGCTCAGTCTCTGGTCCGGGAGCTCCGAAGGACAGCGGCCCTAGGGGCCTTTACAGCTGCAGGGTTTGCCTAATCTCTGGCTGGCGGATGCTGGGCAGTTTCCTGGGGTATGCAAAGCAGGCAGGCTCTGAATGGCCGAAACGTCTGCTTCTTCTCGAGATGTTTAAAACAATGGGATGTGTGAAAGTTTGAGTTCGGTGCTGGCTGTCTTTTGAGCTAACGGGTCTCAGTCTCTTGTGAAGGAGGAGACAATATGTAGAGGCCGTCCCAGGCTCCTTTGTGGGACAGCTTGTTTAGGCACAGAGTTCTGGGTCCCACCCCCGGAGTTTCTGATTCCTTAGGTCTAAAATGGGGCCCAGGGTCTGCATTTCTGGCAAGTTCCCAGGTGATGCTGATACTGCTGGCCTGGGGACACACTTTGAGAACCACTGCTTTACACTCTGGGTTCGGATCCGGGCTCCCCCGTTAGCATGTGTGACCACTGGCGAGTCATTTAACCACAGTTTTCCAGTGAATAAAATGAGGGTCCCCAGAGCTAGTTGTAGGCAAAGTTGTCCTAACAACCAGCACATAGTAGATTCTTAATTGCCTTGTAAACCAGGACCCTGGAGACTTCTGCAGACACTGCCCCTGCTTCTCTTTATGAGAATAAAGGGAGCAGCAACGTTTCCAGGAGAGGAGTCCTCCCTCTGGTTTGCTTCTGGTGTTGTCTTGCTGGTTGGGGTGTGTGCGTGTGCGTGTAGGGCTATGCACACACGTGCACGTATGCACATACACATGCAGGCCTGACAGACAGAAAATAGGTGCTGTCCTCAGAGGTTTTAATCTTGCCAACTTAAAAACATTCCATATATTATTTTTAGTCAAGGGAAGGGAAAAAAACCTGCCCCAAAGCTAATTATTTATGAGCAGTTGGTTCTCCATGCTTTTTTTCTCTCCGTGCACCAAGTCATTGCAAGCCCCAACGACGTCAATGGCTTCAGCCTGCTTGTTTGTATAAACAGAATAATTAAGATTTATTAAATTTGCAGCTGCCTACACGCTTGCCAGCTCAGTGCCACCGGATCTGTTTGCCTGCACACCCAGACACGTGAAATGTAATTGCTTTTCAAGTTGCTTTGGGCCGTGAGTTGACTCCGTTCCTGTGTTGGCCCGGGAAAGAGATGCAGTCCCACCTGAGACCACCTTCGAGTTGGGGAAGAGATTTGCAAATGCTGCTGTTTGTCTGGGTAAATGAGGGCAGGGCCCAGGTGCCAATTTGCAGGAGAGTGGAGCAAATTCCACCCGTGCACTGCATGTTGTGGCCTCGGGGGTATCGATCCAGATGTTGAGCGACCCAGGAGTGGCATTTTATTTACTTGACCATATTTCATAGGTCATAGGTTTCAAGCCTCATAATTTTTCACACTTTCCCGTCTCTGGATTTGGGGTGTCTCATTGCAATCTAGTTCTTCCTGCAAGGATTTGGGTTGGCTTCCTTTCACAGCCCAGGACACTACCCACCTGAGATTTCTTTAAATTAAAATGCTGTGCTTGCGGATTGCGTTTTGTTTTGTTTTCCTTCGGACCACACTGATTGTGTAAATTCAGGCGACCCACCTCCGGGATCTCCAGCCTGTGGTTCAGATCCTGCGGGAGAGTTTTCTTTCTCACCGCTCACCCCGTGCCAAGATAAGACCTTGAATTTCCTTGCTTCTCCTTTCTGGGAGGCGGGATTATTCCTCATCTCCACGGAAGGCGCAGCCCTGTGGCACCCCAGCTTTATGTGGGGTCTCCCCTCAGACCTCCATCTTGGTTGCTGGTTCTTTTCTTTCTCAGTGGTATATAAAATGATGGTGCCCCTACAGTCAGTGTCGTAGATCAGATGAAATATTGTAATACCAAATCGCAGAAAGCGTTCGTGAGTTTCCTCGTTAGATAACTTTTGCAATAACTATGATTTTTTTAAAAAAATTCCCTACTGTGTGTTGGGCACTGGGCTAGTTCCGCTGTGTGGAACACCGTGCTGGTCTCTGATGCTCACGACCACCTTCTCCTTTCTAGTGGGAGGAGAGTGACCTTTGGCCCCTCCTCCCTAAGTGGCAACAGGCCCCAGTAGGGTGGGGGCAGAGGGAACGTAGCTTAACTCTATCTTCCTGAGATTCACTGGGCAACTTCCAGGCAAAGTCAAATCCGGCTCTTCCTGGGCAAATCTGCCTTTGACCTGGGCTCTGCTGGGGCCATGCCGTCTCTGACCTTCAGAAGGAGAGAGCTGGGGACAGGCCTCAAACTGTGTGCTACGTCATCCCTGGGGTCCTGTCTGTCCATCCATCTTCTGATCCCAGACTGACTGGCGGTCGCAGATTTGTGACAGAGTCAGTGCTAACCTTGGGACATGAAGGTTTTGAAGCTTGTCTTTGCTGAAATCCCGAGAAGAGTTATCAACATTCGTTCTTTCTATTTCTTCCTCCTGCCGTTGTCAGCTCACCTGCCTTCCACCCCCCACTTTCTTTAACATCCCTCCCAAGGAGGTAACCAGCAGCTCCCTCTTCACAGCCCAGTAGACATGTTTCTGTCGTCTTGTGCTCGGGCTGTGGGCAGCCGTGGGGCTGATGACCGCGTTCTCCACCCACAGTGGCTCTGCCGGCCCTTCTCAGCCTCTGTCGTCGGGGCCTCTCTCTGTTTTGTTTTCTCCAGTTATCAGAATCAGTGTGGGTAAAATTCACTGTTGATGAAATACTATTATTTAATCCATAGTCCATATTAAAAAATTTAAGGCTATCTCAATAGCCTTTAAAAAAATTAATAGACTTTATTTTTTTGGAACAGTTCTAGGTTTACAGAAAAATTCAGCAGAAGATACAGAGAGTTCATGCACCCCCTCGCCTCGCCCCACGCTGCCACTGTTTCCCCTATTGTTAACATCTCGCATTAGAATGAATGTTGGTTATAACTGACGAACCGATATTGATACACTGTTATTAACTGAAGTCCATAGTATACATTAGGCTTCACTCTTGGTGTTGTACCATCTATAGGTTTTGTTGAATGTATAATGACATTATCCACCATTACAGACTCACGCAGAACAGTTTCACTGCCCTGAAGATCCTCCGTGGTGCACCTGTTCATCCTCCCTAGACACCCCGGCAGCCATGATCCTCCTACTGTCTCTGTAGTGTCGCCTTTTCCAGAATGTCATATAGCTGGACTCCCACAGTCTGTAGCCTTCTCAGATTGACTTCCTTCACTTAACAGCATGCATTTCAGTTTCTTCCGTGTCTTTTGTGGCTTGATAGCTCATTTCTTCTTATCACAGGATACTACTCCATTGTATTAATGTGCCACTCACAGTCTTTTTTATAGTTTTTCCCTCAGTCCAGGATCCATTCCAGGATCACACATTGCATTCAGTTGTCACGTCTCTTTAGTTTCCTCTAAGCTGGAACTATTGCTCATTTCTTCTTGACCTCGACCTTCTTGAGTACAGGCCAGAGATTTGACGGGCTGTCCCTCCAGGTGGGTTTCCCTAATGGTCCTCGTGGTTGGAACGGGGTTTTGCCTCTTCTGGCGGGAATGTCACAGCAGTGAGGCTGTGTTCTGAGTGCGTCTTACTGGGACACACAATGGCAGTATGCCCCCAACATTGGTGGTGCTAACTCTGACCGCGTGGTTAAGGTGGTGACTGCCGGATTTCCCTGCTGTAAAGCTGCTATCGTTTCTTTTGTAATTAGTAAGTAATCGGTGAGGCATTGCTTAGAGACCCTGGAAATACACTTCCTCTTTCTTCAATGCTTGTATCCTCAGGGTTCTCTGGGGCCTCTTTCCCTCTCATGACTTACTCTGTTCCTGGCATGTTTGTTCTCCTACTCTAGACCTCTTGCTGTCTCTGGTCCAGCTCCAGTCCGGGGCTCTCCTTCTAGCTTCAGTCCCAAAGGCCCAACCACCTGCTAGGTGTCGACTTGGGAGTCCCACAGACCCCTCAGACTCCGTGTATCTAAAGCTGAGCTCATTGCCTTTCCCGCGCCCAACCAGGCTCCAGTCTCCATCTCGGTGGACAGCATCATGACCACCCAGTTTCCCAAGCTGGATGCCTCCAGGTCATCCTGGACCCTCAGCCACCTCGGTTCTAGTCCTGGGCTTGGAAGAGCTGGGTCACGGATGGATCTCAGATGAGGAAAGCTGAGAGATGCACGGGGTGGGGGAGCAACCTTATGCCCATACATGTGCTCCTGAATGAGGCTCCGTCCTTGCTGAGTAATGACAGTCACTGCTCTCTCTGATCGTTTCATCTGGAGGGATTCCCACCCATTGACTAAGCCACCTGCAAAAGGCCAGCTCAGATTGTCTTTCTCTGTCACCTCCAAAACCAACTCAGGGTTCTGGAAAAATAGAGTCCTGTGGCCTGGCCATCGTGCGCAGAGCCCCACAGTGAGGAGGTGACATGGACCCAGCCCCGCCCCAGCCACTGCCATCCTGTCCCTGGGAGGGACTCTCCGGAGCTTCTGAGCCCTCATGGGAAGTGGATCTTGGGCTGCAACTTGGTGCTTCAGCCCCGAGAACCAAGTGGGGGAGTTGTCCAAGGCATCGTGGGCAGGGCCCAGCCCGGGGACCAGGGACGCCCTAGGACTCCCGGGAGCTGTCTGGGAAGTGCGGCAGGCCCCAGACACAGCCCCCTTCTGGGGATTCCAGAGGAAGCCCAGGAGAGGAGGCCAGCCAGCACACGGCTTGACGGTCCAGACGGACATCCAGGGGCTGAACTAATTGCTAGGTGACAGTTTAGTGAGGGGCACGGGGGCTGGCCCGTCTTGAATTGCCGGAGAAAAGCCAGCCACTGTCCATCACTCTGAGCTCTCAGTGATGGCCTGGAAGCATCTCCTGGAGGAGAATGACGCCCAAAGAGCTCCCGGGAAAGCCCCCGAAAGCCCCACGGGTGATGGGGCGTGACTTCCACACATGGGGCCCCGGGTCAGCGTGGGACCATCTCCAACCGGTCTAGGCTGAGTGACAGCAGAGGCCCAGGGTGACTTTCGTGGTTGTTGCCGTTTAGCTGTTTCTTACGAGATGCGCTGTGTGGGATGGTGGACAGAGCCTGGGCTGTGGGGCAGTGCTGGCGATTTGAGTCTGTCTGTGTGACCTTGGGCTGGTCCCTTCCCCACAGGCTCAGTTTCTTCCTCTGTGAAATGGGCACAGGGCAGCCACCTCACGTTGCTGTGCTGGAGCTCCGGAAGCCATGAGTGAGGGAGGAGAGCCAGTGCACGGCTTGGGGGTGTTCTCCGTGTGTTCATTAACGAGTGGAGCCCAGATGTTCTGGGGGAACCAGCGGTCAGCGAGCGTCTGCGTGGTCACACCACGGGCACCGAGGGAGGAGCAGACAGCCAGGTGCAGAGGAGGGAAGGAGCCTTGTATTCAGTATTTCCATCGTTCAGCAAGTATTTATTGAGCACTGCTGGGGGTAGAGCAATGAACCAAACTAATGTGGATCCTGCCTCCTAGGAGTCAGCGGGAACGTGGACTTTAATCCGTAATCCAAAGGAAAGGTGCCTTGAGAGTGTGTAACGGGGGCTTTTTGGGTCCAGAGGCAGGGAAGCTCTCCCTGAGGAAGCGACTCACAGCTGAGATTAGAACAACCAGCAGGAGCTAACCAGGTGCATTGGAGAAACACAGGAAATGAGTATTCCAGGCAGAAGGGATAGCCTATGCAAAGGCACTGTGGCAGGAGGATGTGAGGGCCTTTAAGAGGCCAAGAGATGGCATTTGAGGAGGGCAGTGCTTTTCTCTCTGATGGGGCTGGAAAGGTTGATGGTGCCTGATCCCTGGCATCTGGGTGGAGGGGGAAGCTCGAGGGGCTAGTGGGAGCTGCCCATCCTCCCCAGTATCCATCAGTTAGAGGAGGAAGGGAATGAGCATGCATTGAGCCCCAACTATGCATGGTAAGCATACACTGCCTCATTCATCCTTATAACCTTAGTGGGTAGGTATTGTTCCCCCTTTTCCTCAACAGATGAAGGAAGTGAGGCTCAGAGAGGCTGAGCGACTTGTCCTAGGTCACACAGCTAGGAAGTGACAGAGCCAGGGTTAGAACCCAAACTCCGACCCTTTTCTTTTCCCTCCCATCCCCTTTCATCAGTGGCAGAAGATCAGGTCACTGGGATAAACTCATCTTGCCTGAACCCTCAAATCTCTAGGGTCTTGGGTTTGTGTGAGATCTCAAAGGCCTCTTGGTCAGAGCCTCTCCCAAGCTTTTAATGACCCTACACAACATCCCTGTTTCCTCCCCACGACCAGGAGCTGTGGTCCCTCTGCTTTCATACCCCACAGGACAGGGGGCCTCTCACTTCCTGAGGAAGCCTTTCTCTCTTTGGATAGCTCTAACTGGGTAGAACACAGGTAGTACTTTCTCTGGGGAAACTGAGGCACAGAGAAGCTGAGACTGTCAATTTCTTTGTTGTCTTCTTAGAACCTAGTTCATGCCATTTGTGTGTGTGTGTCTGGGGGGGGTGTTTTCTAAGCATTTGAGAATTATATTAGAATGCATCTTTTATTTGAGAGAGCATTCTA